AGGAAGTGTTTTTTTGCTTCTCACATTCACTTGCTTGCCGATCGTAGGAAGGTTACCCTTGGCCATGTGCAACTAAGCAGCCACAGAACTTTGGAATTCAGAGGAAGTCTCTCTGGCTTAAATACCAAAACGTTTCCCTAGCTTTATATTCCATCGCCAAGTCTCATGCCCACACAATACACCCTCGGTAATGAACATGGTAATTATTGACTTCCCCAGATGCTGGCTGAGCTTGTTTTTAAATTCCCAGAGTCAAATAAGTTGGGAGAATGTTATGAGAAGATTAGTTAGAGGAAAAAATGGTGCGCCATTTATCAGCCCAAGAACATTCAGAATTGTCGTTTATAAGAAATAAGCTCATTATTAATGGAAGATTACTTTGCTTGTCTTTATGTGACTATTTTAAAAATTAACCTTTTCTTTGTAGCAAGGGTAATGAATGCATATTCATCTAATACAAATTGGGAAATAAAGATAAGCAAATAATACAAAATTAAACACCCCCACAGCCCTGTCCCAGTAGATATAACTATAGTAATTACCCCCAGCATCTAGTTTTGGCGCTTTTACATAGGGCTTTTCTACACTGTAGCATTTTTTTCTCTCCACTTGCAACCTGCTGAACAACATTCCATATCAACACGTTTGCCTTTTTATGTCTACTTATTGAAGTAGAATAGTTTTGTTTGGCTTTAAAACACAGTCATTTATCCAGAAACTGATGTTTAACGAGACTTCTGAAGGGCAGAGGGAGGTGTGGCTGTGGGTGGACATCCAGCAATTTGAAACACAGCCCGAAACAGAAAGGGAATTGTAACCAGTTTTGACTATTGTGCATGTTAGCTCTGGTCCTCCTACCCACATGTCTACTGCTGACTTCAAAGAAAAGCCAGGACAGTGGCGTTTTGGAGGATACGGCGCAAAATGAGAATCAGCCCATGGTAAGAGATTAAAGGAAGATTCATCAAAGACTCAGCTTATAAGTGCTTGCCTGCGACTTGACTTGTTGGCCTATGGCCCCCAAATATTCATCGTAACAGGACTTTCTTTGAAGTGATTCAGAAGCACTGACACTCAGAGTGAGCTCTGGTCAATGGGATTTACCGAGAGGCACTGGAAGGAGCTAGCAAAGCTGCCTCTTCCCAGCTCGCCATTAAGGAGAGTGCCGTTTCTCTGGGCTAGTACAGATGCTAGGATCCAGCAAGGAAAGCCGGCCTGAGAGGGATCACTAATCCGTTTCCCTTATGCTGGGTGTGGGAAGTTCACATGCACTCGGGGACTGATTTTTTTTTCATACTCATGAGCTCAGAATTTCAGCCGACATCATTATTTTCATTCAAAGCATTTGATGGGTGGGGCGTGTGGCATTCCAAATGGGCAACAAGACTTACCTTCCGCTCCAAGTGTTCGCCGTGCATGCTTGTCACTTCTTCGTGACTGTTCAGTAGACTGCGCAGTTCCTACAGTGTTCACGTAAGTCACCCACTTCCTAGGAGAGAGAGTGAGTGGACTTGTTCCCCAGATGCCAGTGGCTTTTACAACAGCAACCTTCAGGGTTTCAAGCAGAAAAGCTTGAAAAAAATTTGTTCAGAGTGTAGTTCTAGGTCTTTGGTTTGTGTGTTCAGGCTCCACGTTTGTGGGGTTTCCACTTTACATGGCAATCTTCTTAACGGGGGGCGTTGATTTCATGTTCTCCTGCTGTCGTGTCTTTGTTTCCTTTAGAGTCCAAGGAAATTTTTTCTTCCCTACCATTTTTAGGTTTTTCTTCTTTCTTTCTTTCTTTCTTTCTTTCTTTCTTTCTTTCTTTCTTTCTTTCTTTCTTTTCTTTCTTCTTTTCTTCCTTCCTTCCTCCTCCTCCTCCTCCTATTTCTTTGTCGTCATCTCATCATCTTCCTCCCTCTCTCTCTCCCTCTCTCTCTCTGTCTCTCTCTGTCTCTCTCTGGCTTTGAGATGATTTCTCTGTGCAACCCAGGAATGCACTCTATAGACCTGGCTGGTCTTGAACCCACAGAGATCCGCCTGCCTCTGCCTCCTGAGGGCTGGCATCAAAGGCGTGCGCCACCACCGCCCAGCAATTTTTAGGTTTTCTTATCTTGCCCTGTTGTGTTAAGGGTAGATCTTCCTGGTGGGGTCTGGGAGCCAGCAGTGTGTGGTCCTGGGAGAACTGCGGAGTGAATCTATTCCCTTTACGGAGCTGGAGTTTAGGTTTTGGGGAAGTCGAATTTGTTCCCACTTGATGAGTACAATACAGGCTGACATGGGTGTTGTGGGTCTTTGTCAAGGTGGAGGATTTAAGCTGGGCTTTAAAAATGCTCGCAGTTCACAAAGGTGAAGAAATCCAAAAGATGCAGTAGCAGAAGATGGGGGCTGGGACAACCAAGTCTGAGTTCTAGAAGCAGAAAACTGAGCTATTTCACAGCAGAAACTGATCTGACTGGGGCAGGTGATTCATGGGAGGAAATAAAGACAGAGGCGTCATTAGCTGTATCAGGTTAAAAATATGCTGTGGAATCCCTGGGGTGGTTCTTGTTTGTTTGTTTATTTGGTTGGTTGGTTGTTTGGTTGGTGGGTTGGCTTGGTTTGGTTTTGTTTCTTTGGGCTTTTGCTTGTTTTAATGAATGTAAAGGACTGCATTGAAACCTGGGCTGGAATACACCTTGCTGAAATGTTTCAAGAACATGAATCTGTTTGCAGAGTGTAGGGTGGACTGGGGTGAGTGGGGCCTGGGGCCAAGGCTTGGGAAAGAACATAGCTTGACACAGAGTAAAGACTTGGACTGGAACAAATAGAGTGGACTTTTGGAGGCACTAAAACCAGAACTGAGCTGACTGGTGGGAGGAGAGGAGAACTCAGAGCAGACACATAACTGCGCCCACTAATAGATGCCAGTTGGTGGAGATGCAAAAGGATTAATGACATCCGTAAACCGGTGAGGAGACAATGAAAAGCTCCAAGAAGCATCTCACCCGAACGCTAAAGACTGAGTGAGGCAGTTAACCTGCGGAGTCTAAGAGAGAGAGGCATAGTGTGTAGCTCAGCGTCACAAAAATTTTAGGGAAGAAATGGGACATGAGCCAAACGTTGAGTGGCAGGTAGGGCTGGAAAGAAGCAGAGAAGGCACGTGAGATGTGGGGTGTGGGATGAGGAAGCAAAGGGTCGGGGCTAGGGAACATGGGCGTGTTCCCGCACACTCCGTAGACCTGTCTTATAGGAACAGAGGTGAATTAGATATAGATAGGGTTGTGGGAAGAGGATGGTCTCAAGACCAAGTTAAAGCCTTTGTCATTTAACCAGGGAAAGGACATGCTACTGACATTTTTGTTTTTAGTAATGTTGTGACCAGAGCAATAGGGTCTCTAGGGAGTTTAACCTTAAAGAAGAGTAGAAAATATATATGTATAGAATATATGTATATATACATATAGATAGAGAGAGAGAGACAGAGACAGAGAGAGGGAGAGAGAGCCAGCGGGATGAATTAATCAGCAGAAAATGAAGATGTACATGGGGTTGATATTGAGCATGGAAAAGGAGACATAGAAAATAAGCTAAGGAATTAAAGTTAGCAAAGGCGTGGAGGAAATGCAGCCTTACTCACTCTAGAACTCAATCCTGAGGGTCTGTGCTAACAATGTACCTTACCGTATACCACAGCGTGGAAGTTGAAAGGTGACTGGTTTGTGGTTAACTCCGAGGGAGTTTTAAGAGTTAGGTGTGAGGTCTTCAGCAAGCAGACACACCCAAAAGGTGCTTAGAATTAGGGGCTTGAAGTTCAGCTGCAAAACTTATTTACTATACCAAGTTGAAAAAAAGAAAAAGTGCACACAGCTCAGCAATTGCTTGAAGTTTTCAGGTAATTAGTTAATTGGTTCAGAAAGCGAAGTACTTTTGGAAGCTCACTTGAGCATGTATACTCTGCCGACACCAATGAATTCCCAATTGTTCCTTTATTTTCACCGCAAAACAGTTGAACCTACTGTGAGAAAGAAACCCTGGTGGATTGCGGGGGTGGGGGGTGGGGGGTGGGAGGGGGTGGCTCTGCTGTACTGCATGTGTCGAGTAGATGAGCCTTGTGCCTTATTCTAATCTTCAGAGTGCAATAATTCATATTTTACCAGATAAAGCACCTAAACACACATGTCTTATACACTGTAAATAGTGTTGTGTATTTATCACAGTTTTCAAAGATGTGGTGAGAGTGGGCTTCAGAAAATCTCACAAGCTTTTATAACAGACTCTCCATAAACAAATGCAAATTGGGCATGAGTTTTAATTTTGAGATCTTGTAAGTGGGTGAAGGCTCCTGTCCCCAAACCTGGCAATTTGAATTTGATCCTGGGACCCACAGGGTTGAAGGAGAGCACCAAATCCCACGAGTTGTCCTCTGACCTTACACCCATGCCGTGGCACACCTGTATACACATACACACACGAATGAAAGTGTGATAAAATTTTAAAGAACCGTCGGCAAGATACAAAGACTAATGGCAGGCTTCCACTCCTTACTGGGCTGATAAAGAACTCCATTGGCAGTCAGCCCTGCATCCTTTAAAGTTTCAGGTGTAATGTGAAAGACCCAGCACCCTGAAAAGCAAACAGCAATTAAAAGTTACCAGAGTGCAGAATGACGCTGTGCTAACCGCAGGCCAAGGTGGCCATAACAGAGTAGTCCTATAAGTCTTTTTTCTTGGAGCAGTGAATAACAGGAAGTTCAGTTACTGGGGATCCAGGTGCAAGGAGACACGTTAGGGAAAGGTGGGGATTTAGGATAGGGGATTTGAGCCACTCGGAAATAAAATGAGCCCGCTGTAACAGTAAAGGGACAGGGGTCTGTAGAAATGCACTACTCATGATGCTGTCAGAATGGACCATGGTATAAATGCAAGAAAAGAGCCTCTGTGCAGCAGATGGGAAGAAGGTAGAGCCCCCAACCCTTCCTCTTCCCAGCCTAGGTAAACAATACATCTCCATCTCATCTGGTCCTTTCTCCGGTCTCGCAGCTGCTCGACTGATCCAGAACATGGATGCCTCTGTTGAGCCGTGTACAGACTTCTTCAAATATGCCTGCGGGGGCTGGTTGAAACGCAACGTCATTCCTGAGACCAGCTCCCGATACAGTAATTTTGACATTTTAAGAGATGAGCTAGAAGTCATCTTGAAAGGTTAGTGTTGACTGTGTCTGTCAATTGGATTTTTTTCCCTCTGACATCCATTTTTTTAAAAAAAAGATGGAGCTGCTTGCCATTAAGGGAGATTTTTGCAAAAGATTAGAGTTGATATTTCCTTCAAGATTTGCACACCTCCATTGAGTTACTCTGAGGGTAGTAGACACCAAAATGGATGCGTTGGCATCTCTTCTTTAATTCTATATACACGAGTTCTAAAGCTCTTCATCCCTAGTGATGATATCTTCAAGTCACTTTGTAGAAGGGAAACATTTAATGGTTGGTTGCTACTGAGCTACTTCCACTGACTCCCCTACTCAGTCTGGTGTGGTGTTAAAGTTACTGAAGATTTTGCCAGGCTTTGTCTTCCCTGAAAATTGGAGAATGTTTAGACTCATCTCTGCTATCTCCATCCATCCAGTTATCTTCTAGAAGTTACTTTTTAGGAAAAAAATGGGAGTTTTCTATGTTTTAATACCTAAGCAGGGAGAACAATCCATTTGGATCATGCATTGCACATTCACACAAAGATAATTATGTTCTAGTCATCAAGAGGATTATCTGCACTAAGTCCCAAATTCCTTTGCACTATTTGTTTTGCTTTTGATCTGAAATTCAAGAAAAGTAATTGGTACCTGAGGCTGATAAACACACACACACACACACACTCACTCATATGCACACACACACACTCACTCATATGCACACACACACACATATACAGCCCACTGAAAAAGACTTACATGTAACTTGGTTAGAGGAACAAACCCCACATCTGTTCTAGGAATGATGGTTTGACTTTTCCCATGATTTAGGAGCGGGGAGGGAGAAAACACTTATTATCAATTAGACCTATGTTGAAAAAATGTCAGCAACAGCCCCAAATCAGCAGTTCTGATGACGCATTTCACAAAATGCCCTATTTCAGATGTCCTTGAAGAGCCCAAAACTGAAGACATAGTAGCAGTACAGAAGGCAAAAACCTTATACAGGTCTTGTATAAATGAGTGTAAGTATTCTTTATTTGAAATATGTATATATTGGTAACAGAATACGAATAGAACACACATAACCCCATCTTGAATGCATTTTCTTTGTTCCAAAAAGCTGCTATTGAAAACAGAGGAGGACAACCTCTGCTCAAACTATTGCCAGATATATATGGGTGGCCGGTAGCATCAGAAAACTGGGAACAAACATATGGTAAGACATAGCCCCTCTTTTTGAAATTAATAATTTCCATATTATAGCAATGCTAATGAAACAAAGCTTCAGAAAACACCCTTCACCTTCTGTCCCTTTAGGTACTTCTTGGACAGCTGAGAAATCCATTGCACAACTGAATTCTAAATATGGGAAAAAAGTCCTCATTAATTTTTTTGTTGGCACCGATGATAAGAATTCTACCCACCACATAATTCATGTAAGTGTGTAGGCAGCCACAGCTATCTGTAACTTGTAGTGAAATTTCCATGTGCATTGTTTTCATTGGTATTTGAGTAACACGAATTCTCCCTTTCGTTGCATGAACTAGGGGGCAATAAATCCATGCCCCCAGATCTCGGCCCTGAGGCTCCGTGTTAATAGACTTTTGTTAATGATACGTTCAGACACTCGGCTCTCTCTCTCTCTCTCTCTCTCTCTCTCTCTCTCTCTCTCTCTCTCTCTGTTGTTTCTATTATAGAGAACTTCCTAGGATCCTCTCATTATGAAAACGGCTCCCGGTTTCTTTGCATGTTTCATGCTTTGGTTTGTATAAAGTAATGTGGGCCTGGAAACCAAAAATTCCTCTTTGATTAAAAAATTAAAACAAAAACAAAAACAAAAACAAAAACCCTGAAAGGGATTCCGCACACAGGTTTTGGTTCTCACTAAAGAGTGCTTGTGCTTTTAATCTCAGTTAAGGTAAATGAAATACTATCCTTCTGAGGGCGCTTCATGGGGAGATGTGGTGTAGCTCTTTCTACACATCCCTTTTGGGTCTATTTCTGCTGGATGGGGTCGGACCCCTCAAATCTTCAGGGGTTCCCACCATAACCTATCAGTGCTCTAGGTCACTAGTACACCCCCGATCTGCTGTGTCCTGCATAGGAAGCAGGCTCTCAAAGCTGCCAGTGTGCCCACCTGCCCTTTGCATTGGTGACCAAGGTGAAGCCATGCACAGGAGCAACTAAAACTTTTCTTGCACAGGCAACCACAGCCGCGCCTGCTAAAAGCCTTCTGAGCATACACCTCTTGGGGAGTCTTTCTCTCTGCCTCGTTGGTAGACAATCTCAGCATTCCTGGCAAGATTTACCCCGGCCAATAGGTTGTAGAGTGACTAACTATAGTGGTTTTTTCCATGCGTCCACTACCACACACCAAATCAACTTGAAGGACAACTTTCTTCTACCAGTTAGAATATACCCCCAGTTAAGGGGGTTCAGACAAACATGTGACCCAAGGGACCCTATTAGAATATCCAGAAACTGGGAAGTCCTGTACATGTGTAATCGAGTAACTCACTGGGCCAGGGTCTTCAAACTCTTTTCTTTGCTTTTACCTTCTGCTCTGAATTTAAAATCTTTTCCAGGGTAATTTTTAGTTCAATTTTTCCTAGTTTCATTCACATGTCCACAATGAAATTCCCCGGATTGTTTAACTGCCCATGCATTTGTCACTTGCAAGTAGCGCAGAAACCTTTTCTAGTTATTTATTTACTCCATTTCTGATTGCTGCTCTTAGAAACAGCAGGGAGAGTGGGCCTACTTGTATTTTATCCAAATGTTTTACTCGCTGAATAATTTGTTTTCTTTGATGTATATTTTTCCTTTATAGTTTGACCAGCCTCGACTTGGCCTCCCTTCCAGAGACTACTATGAGTGTACTGGAATATATAAAGAGGTAAATGAAAGCAGAGGGAGAAAAAGAATCAGACACAGATTGCACAGTCATCTGTGCAAACCTTTAATAGCGAAAAGGACTAGAGCCAAACTGAAAACTCCTTACATTCGTTGCCGGAGAAATACCAAAGCCCCACAGTGCTGATGTTTCCTTTGATAGAACCAACATTCCCACTAGACTAATGGAAGTCAACTGAGGAAGCTTGGAATTCCTCGTGTAAATGTTCATTCTTAGTTTTTAAGTCACATGACACACTTAAAAAATCAGTTTAAAATGTTTCTGTTCACATCTAAATTGGATCATTTGATGAAAAGCAAAGTGTTAGATTAGCCGTAGTGTAGAACGTTGTCAGTAAGGACTAGGGATTGACTTGTCCAGCGAAAGATCCCCTTTCCAGAACTTTTCCAGAGAATACTATGCAGATAGGAGCATCTACTCGCTTTCCCGTAACATCTAAGCCACGGACATCACACCCAACAGAGCTGCTGTTGAGCAGGATCCCGTGTTTACTGTCTCACATGCTTTCCTACCTTAGGCTGTTGTGAAAGTGTGCTTACTGATGCAAGAAACCCCAACAGACAAAATGAGCAATGTTGATCGTGATTAGTTATCAGAAGGAAGATGGGTGTCCTGTAGATGATTGTTTCACAACTCGTTTTGAAACACAGAAGAAAATTATGATTGCTTTTCATGGTCCTAAAGAGTCATATTGTGGTGTTGTGACTGGAATCGCTTCTTGGCTAAAATTATTAGCTAAACGTGACGGTGTCGTGAATTCATGTTAAGTTCAGACAACATGGAATAAGCTATCTGTTTGAGTGGACACACAACACTGAAATTAAGTAAGGTATATACATTGAAAGTTCGAAGGCCATAATTAATAGCACAGGTAATTAAATGGGTGTAGGATATCTGAGTGATCTAGTTTCTGTGTGTGCTGCAACTCGGTTGGCTTTAAGAAGTGTCCCGCTTGTTTCCTGTTGCAGAATTAAAAGTGAAGGGGGAGTGTCAGCTTGCTTCTTATCATTTTCAGCCCAAGAGCTGTTCATATTCACAACTGCACTCTGTAATCTGTCAGTGTTTTCCAACCCTTAGATAGTTTTTACCTTATAGTTTGTCATCTCTGATATCAAACCATACCTGATAGTCGAGGTGGTGAAGTTTCTTCTTTTTTTTCTTTGATAAGCTCTTATGAAGATGATAGAGTGTTTTGTAAACTTTTCTCCAGCATTAGTCCATAATGTCATGCAGGTGACAAACTGGCCCCCTGGGCTTTGCATCTGATACAGAGACATTTTTTTTTCCATCCAAGCTGCGAGACTTGCTCTATGTCAAACTTTGAAGCGTTGTCCATCCGTTGCAGAACCGGGGCCTTCACTTGGCAACACACATATTTTCCGGCTATGCCTCTAGCATTAGAGACCCCAAGTTTGCATTTTCAAAAGGCTGTGCAGCCAGAACTGTTCTAGCCCACGCCACGGAGACAGGGCTTCATTCCCTGCGTCTGTGTAGCCCTCATCTCGATGATTCCCTGACTTACACTGACTCTCTTCTCTCTTTAAGCATGTGAGCTGGTACTGGGTTGGGTTTTGTCTGAGCTGAAGTAACAATGATACTCAAAATTATAGTGCCTATAGCAAATAACAATATCTCTATTTCCCTTTCCTGTCTCAAAGCCAGCAGCCCAGGTGAGGTAGGACACATGGGACTCCCTGTGGGCTCAGTGGCCTTTAATTTTGTTCTTCTAATCCCAAACTCCTCTGGAATTCATGTTAGTGCACATGCCAGAATTGGCTCGCCCTGCCATATTCATGTTTAAGGCCAGAGGGAAATAGAAAGGAAGGGAAGTGCCGACCGTTTCCTCTATTTTTTTTTTAACTAATAGGTTTCTTTGATTTTTGAGAAAGGGTTTTACTCCGTGGCCCCCAGGCTGGCGGGACTGTCATGCCGTTCCCACTAAATGTAAAGGAGGTTAGGAAAATATCAGCTGAATTTAGTCCTGTTTTTGATGCTATTATAAATTGGATTTTTTTCTTTCATTTCTAAGTCAAGTAATTCAGTATATTTTTGCATAAGTGCTACTGATATTTGGGGGTAGGTTTCTTTTAACTGTTTTCAGTCCTAACAGTATTTTTTATGACACCCTTAGCATTTTCTATATATGAGATCGTGCCATTGGCTGACAGTCCATTTCACTGTTTCCTTTCCTGTGTAGAGACACCATTTATTTCTTGTGATTACCTTAATTGTTCTGGCTGGGCCAGACAATCCTTGTCTTGTTTCTGTTCTTGGAGGCAAAGTGTTCGACTTTTCACCGGCAAGGCTTATGTTAGCTCTGGACGGACTTGTCACCGTGGACTTTTGTGTGCTGACGTGTGTTCCTCTTGAACTTACGCTGTTGAAAGTTTTCTCTAGAATTATGCTGAGTCTTTCCATCATTTGAGATGACCATGTGGTTTTGTACTTCATTTTGTTAATATAATGTGCTGCATCTACTGATTATTATGGAGTGATACTTACATACTTTTCCTGACACAAGTTTATCTTAATCACAGATAAAAAGTCGTTTTATGTTCTGTCAGACACCTATCATTAAACTTATCAGCATTTTACTGAGGATTTTACTCTGATCAGCATCATGGATATTTGTCCACTGTTTTTCTTTGCCTGGCTTTAGGGTCAGTCGGGCTTGTAAACTTAGTTTGTAACTTTTCTATCCTTTTCATTCTTGTGGATGGGTTTGGAAAATGTTGACCGTGGTTCTCCTTTGCGTGGTTAGCAATGTACCAGAGAGGCCATCAAAAGCAACACACCTCAGCTTCTACTTTTCTTGAGCATCCCAGAATTTAAGGTAGAATAATAATATGGATAGGAAAATCAGCTTCGATCAGATGTTTATATAGTCATTTTCTCTCTGGAACTGGAAGGGAGTTACATACAGATCCTAAAAGATAATGGTGAGAGGAAAGGAGACTGATTCACTCAGGCCCATTTGGTCCTCTGTGAAGAGAATGCACTAAGATACTGGGCTGAAATACACCCAACAAGAATAGAACCCAACACAGAAAATTAACAGAAGAGAATTCATCAAATGCCCAGGTCTTCATGAGTGGTATTATGATGACTTGCTGGACTTAAGTTCCATGAGCCCAATATGACTTTGCCTACCAAAGGCTATACGTATCATTAGTTCCCAGATGACTTAATTTCCATACGTTGAAAGCATGATTTTGTTCTCATTTAGTGGTCACAGTAGCCTATACATACTGCCTAGGAGTACCATGAAGTCAGTTCAACCATAAAAGCTGTAAATGTTCTCTTCATTAGCTTCTTGTCAATGAGGGTACATACTGAATCTCAAGAAATTACCTGTAGATAAATTTCTCAGGAATGAATACATGTGCACCATGTCTACGTTTAATGACAACTTTTCTCAAAATGAGTTTAGAAATGAGTCTATCTTGCTAGATCTCTCCTTTGACAAGAGAATCCGTAGCTATTCTGATTATCAGAGGAGATAGTTAATGATAGACTGCCCTTAAAAAGACAGAAGTAATGCGATGCAAAACAAAAGTGTAAATACTTATTCTGAGAAAACAATGTGAAGGGTATACATTGCCCATGAAAGATAATCATTCCCAATCTTGGAATTTCAGTCAACCATCTCACACGAGAAATAATCTTAATTCTCTTCAGAAATAGCCTTCCCCAAGAAAGGACCCTGAACCAATTAGGATTGGTCTCCAGGTTTCTTTTTCTCTACCTTTTTGCTTCATTAAGCCTAATAACCTTCTCCTTCTTTGCAAAGAAATCTGTAGGCTGGAAACCTAAAATACTTGCCTGTGGTTACAGATGTTCTCACGTTCTATAGAATGCTTGTCTGAAAAGGCAGAATAGGCTAGGGCAGTAGTTTCCATACCTATTCTGAATGTACCACTGACAGGACTCTGGGCAGTTACTTCTCACATTCCACTACTGGAAAAACTATCATGATTCTTTTACGTTTTTGTTTGTCCATCAACAAAATACTTGGCTGAACCATGTATTTAGAGATAAAATAAAATGAGGAAACCCTTCAGTGAGAAGTTGAGTCTGAGGAGGCACAAGTTGGAGGAGAGAAACTATGGTTAGAATGATGTAAGGCATGGTTAGAAAGAGGAAGGCAAGAGCTATAAATTAATTTAAAGCTCTTCTAAAACCGGTGAGACCATAAAACATGGAGGCATTTTAGGGATAAGGATAAAGGGCTTGAAACATGGCCGTAGTATATCAAAGAGAGAAAGAGATGACCCAAGGCCTGTGTGTCTAAATAAGAGAAAATACAGGATACCCCACCCCACCCCCAAATTCGCTAAATTCCAGGAAAAAGCACAAGCCAAGACTTAAACAGAGATGAGCATGCTCAAACAGACTGAGATTAAATGTAGAGATTTTACTTGCTTGCTTGCCCAAAGAGCAAGTTAATAAAAGTTGCTGTGGTCTGGAGATGTTGAGTGGAAATGAGTGAAGCCGTCTTGATACACTTATATTTTAACTTCAAAATTTTTGTTTAGTAAATAACTTGTAACAGTGTGGCAACTCTTCCAGGCGGTGGGAACCTGGAGACAATATGTTTGCTGTCACTGACCTCAAGTGATGCAAGAATAAAAGACAAAAGTGGAAAAGGCAGTAATGTAAATTGAGGAAGTATTGCAATGATAATAAAATGGTGATGTACTGACGGATTAATGAGTAGATGAACAATTTAGACTCTGTTCATTTGGACCTCTGAAAAGATCTCTCTGGCTGCATTGTGTGGACTGTGCTGTAGTGTAGAGGGCCTCACTTGGTCCTTTATGTGGAAGAGGATGGTGGACTTGGTGAGAACAAGTGGATCTAAGATAAACCCAAGATGGTCCACTCAGCCCACTCATCATAGACAAAATGTGTGCTTTAAGCTTCTCAGCTTCTCTGTGTACTAGTGCTGACATTCATAGGGTACAAGGAAAACCACTGGCCTCATTTTGTTCCTTCTGGATACCAGAAGGAAGCTAAACGGTTTTACCCAGTCTTGGTAGATGCAGTTAACAAAACATAAAGGGCCAGTTTATTTTCAACTCAGTAAATTTTAGAAAAGAACTTTTAGAGATCGAAAGCAGTTTGTGAAGATTCCTGTCACCTGCATATGCAAAACCTTGTATAAACCTCCAGGTTCTTTCTGATAATCTACCCACATATCTCCCTGGGTCAAGGTAGATCCTCTTGGGTCCTGTATTCTACAAGTCCTGTCGTAGAGTTGCTTTTGGGTTCAGCTATGTCTTGTCCCTGGTTTCCAGGAACAGGTATGCAGCTCTCCATACGCAGTCCCCGTGCGGAGAGCAAGTCTGTGCCAGCAGTTGCATGTTGCCTGATAGGAAGTTTCTGAGCCCTTTAGATGGGAAGCACATTTCTAGAATGGTGTCCTTGGTATGCTTTGTCGATTCTATCAGTAAGCTTCCTGAGTGATACTTAAATGTTCCCCAGCATTAATATCTAACGCGAGCAGAGTTCTGTGACTTCTCAGTTGCTTCTTGGTCTCCAATTTGTAGATTTTCTTCAGAGGGAGGAAAAGACAGACAGCTGAAAATATCTGGATATGGAACTCCTGTTCTTTATAGGTCACCACCAGGGTACCCAGACATCAATCAATCAGTTTTTATTTTGTTGTTGTTGTTTGGTTTGGTTTGGTTTGGTTTTGATTTTTCAAGACAGGATTTCTCTGTGTAGCTTTGTAGAGCAGGCTGACCTCAAACTCACAGAGACCAGCCTGCCTCTGCCTCCCAATTGCAAGGATTAAAGGCATGCAACACCACTGCCCAGCCATCATTCAATCTGATTGGAGAGCTTTCTTCTCTTTCCTGGATCTAGATGTCATTTATTAGGAAGGATATTAAAGTCTGAAGGATAATAGCAAAATGGCCTTGCTGTGTTACTCTTTAGGGAGTCTAATAAAAAACAGTTTTTCCCCCAGAATTGGGAAGCCAGGTCATAAATACCACTATCTGCTATTGTAAAACAGAAATCATTGTAGTCAAGCAAGACTCCATGATGTTAGGATTAGTAAATATCATTTTTTCTAATGTGTGGTTTAAAATCCCACAAAATTGCTACTATATGGATTTTATGCTTTCTTTTTAATGCAATTATCACCTTAAAACTACTTTTGTCAGTGTTAGAATTTATAATCTTTTTTTTAAACAAAGGGATTCGAGGTGTTTCCAGATTCTTCCCCACTGAAATGACCCTCAACTTACTGTCTCTTCAAAGACACAACTATTACAAAACAAGAGCTTGTTCTTGTCACTTCCCTGAAAACTAAATCTTCTCTAAATCACAAGAAAGGAAAACTAATCTTCATTTTCAAAAATATCTCGGTTTCTCCAAATCCATATACTTGATATCATTTGGCATGCTACATGTTTAAAAATAACCAGAAGTTACAGCCTTTGGTTAGAATTTTTATGGCAGTGAGATTGAGTCAGTGAGATTGAGTCCTGACGATTACTGCAGGAACTTGGGAAGAAATGATGCTACAATACATGATTTAATGAGGGTGTGGCCATCAGGCTGCACCTCATTCACCAAAACACTGCATTCTGTGCAAGTGTGCCCAGAGCTAGCAACAGGGGCTCTCACCAGTTCAGCAGGCCTAAAAAGTTGGGTTGTGATGTCATCCACCAAGACTCCACAGTCATGAGGTACATTTTTTAAAAATTACAAACAAGCTTGCCTCACATGTCAATTCCAGCTCCCTCTCCCTCCTCTCCTCCCCCGTCCCCCACCAAATCCCCCACCCCATCCTCTCTCTCCTCCCAAGGGAGGGTGAGGCCCTCCATGGGGGATCTCCAAAGTCTGTCACATCATCCGGGGCAGGGCCTAGACCCTCCCCCATGTGTTCAGGTTGACAGTACTCTCCATGTGGAATGGGCTCCCTAAGTACATTTGTACACCAGGGATAAATACTGGTCTACTATCTGAGGCCCCACAGATTGCTGAGGCCTCCTTACTGAAACCCAAATTTAGGGGGCCTGAATCAGTCCCATGCTGACCTCTCAGCCATCAGTCTGGGGTCCATGAGCTCCCCCTTGTTCAGGTCAGCTGTCTCTGTGGGCTTCACCAGGCCGGTCTTGATGCCTTTGCTCATCACTCATCCCTCTCTGCAGTTGGGTTTCAGGGGTTCAGTTCAGTGTTTAACTGTGTGTGTCTACCTCTGCTTCCATCAATCACCGGATGAAGGCTCTAGGATGTCATATAAGGTAGTCATCAATGTCATTATCAGGGAAGGACATTTAAGGTAGTCTCCCCACTATTGCTTCGATTGCCAGTTGGTGTCATCCTTATAGAGCTCTGGAAATTTCACTAGTGCCAGATCTCTCCTCAAACCTATAATGGCTCCCTCTACTATGGTATCTGTCATCCTGCTCTCCTCCATTCTTCCTCCAACTCAACCTTCCTGCTCCCCCTTGTCCTCCTCTCCCCTCCTCTTCTCCCCATCTCTTTCTTCCAGCTCCCTGTCCCCTCCTCCTATGTTCCCAATCTGCTGAGGAGATCCTATCCCATTCCCCTTCTCTGGGGTACCATGCATATCTCTCTTAGGGTCCTCCCTGTTTCCCAGACTCACTGGTGGTGGCATTGTAGACTGGCACTCCCCTGCTCCATGACTAAAATCCATATATGAGTGAGTAATTACTATGTTTGTCCTTTTGTGACTGGGTTACCTCACTCAGGATGGTTTCTTCCAGTGCCATCCATTTGCCTGAGAATTTCAAGATTCCATTGTTTTCTTCCGCTGAGTAGTACTCCACTGTGTAGATGTACCACATTTTCTCTATCCACTCTTCAGTTGAGGGGCATCTAGGTTGTTTCTAGGTTCTGTCTATTACAAATAATGCTGCTATAAATGTAGTGGAACAGATGTGCTTGTTGTATGAATGTGCATCTTTTTGGATATATGCCTAAGAGTGGAATTGCTGGTAGGCTGATTCCCATTTTCCTGAGGAATCTCCATACTGATTTCCAGAGTGGCTGTACAAGTTGGCACTCCCACCAGCAGTGGAGGAGTGTTCCCCTTCCTCCACATCCTCCATCAGGTATATTTTCAAAGAAGAAGAGCTAGACTTTAGAATCAACCAAGTACACGGAAGGATTCTTGTTGTTTTCTCTCCTCATTAACAAGTGTATCTCATATAACAAAGAGGAATCTCAAAAGATTGATATTAGAAAATTCAAATTACCATCTCCTTCACAGCCAGTAGTAATTCCCTGATGAAAGCAGATGAATTTATGTGCTGTGAAATATAGTTAATTGAATACACTGCATTCTTATACTTTGGACTAGGTGGTCCCGTGAGGTAAGAAACCAGACATACTTGTTTACTTCTAAGAGAAACAAGAACTCTGATTAGCTTTTAATAGGAAAAGAGAGAAGCTGGCAATCACTTATATGAAATTATCTCTCATTCCTACTACCTTAGTGATTGGGTTCTTAAATGCAAATTCAAAGACTCCCCCCGCCCCAAAATAGCTTATCCTATTGAAAAGCTTGGAAGAAAGCACTACCCAGGTAGTCATAACATTACAGCATATCCCTCAACAGAGAAAGCCCCCGTCTCCAGGGAACTGTCTATTTAGTATTTAATGTTTTTCACAGGTCACAGTACATTGAGTTTTTTGAGATTCGTAGTGATTACACATTTTGTATATAGCTCTCATTTAATAGAACATTTTTACTTTACTATTTGTTTTACGTTTGGTGATGAATACCTGTAAATGCACATGTACCTTTATGTTCAAATTGAATATAAGGGTGCTCTTTGTGCTTGCAAATCGTTAGTAGGGATACGGGACTGTCCTGAAACTGGAAGTTGTACCCCCCTTTTAGCACACATACAACCTTCATTTGGATTTACCTGGATACCAAGTCTTACAAGCATCAAAACACTCCACTTATCCCTGAGTTTGTGCATCAGATTTCCACTGGTGACAGTAAAGCACCTGCCAGAGGCTTGAATTGGGGTAAAATTGAAATGGCACACTTCATTTTAATTGCTGATGTGTAATAATATCTAATAAGCAGCAGAGTGATGAAACTTAGCAAAAGTGGGATTGAATTATCCTGGTTTTAATGTCACCAAACTTTAAATGAGGCATTTGTATAATTTACAAAAAAGTTGACAGTATAAATAGTTTACAGCTTCTGATTATACATTAAAATGTATCTGAAGACAACATGTGAAGAACTGAGTTTATGGCAAAAAGAGATGGCATCTAAATCTATGGTATCTTATAATAAAACTTCACAGTAACGGCAAGGATTATGGGTCAAATTAAAAACTTTGGCTGTTTGTTGGAGGAAGTACTGAGAGTAGTCTCAAAAAATTAGCTTGGTCCAAAATAGGAAAATGTCCTGATCATACTACATGAATGAGTAGCTGCCAGCTGCCTCTTCATGAATAGTTGAAAATACTTTCATATATATATGTGTGTGTGTGTGTGTGTGTGTGTGTGTGTGTGTGTGTGTGTGTGCAAATTCAACCTGAGGGAAAAGGTTTAGTAAAGAAGTAATTTCTCAATTACTTAACAAATGCTTTGCAACTGTATTTTTATAAAGACAAAATAAATATCTTGAAAATAACATAATCTCCATAAACAAATAGCCATAAATTAAGCCATTCAAAATGGTATTTTATTGCTATGCCTCAGCTCTAATTAAAGGAATCTGTACAAGTCATTTCTTTTAGAACTTAGAAAATACTTCCATTTTATTGTGCTTTTTCTGCTACCAAAAATTAATACTTTAAAAACCTTTATGTACCATGATGAATATCAGAAGACTCCCTGACAACTTATGACTTATTTCTTGCAGGCTTGCACAGCATATGTGGATTTTATGATTTCTGTGGCCAGACTGATTCGTCAGGAAGAAAAATTGCCGATTGATGAAAACCAGCTCTCTTTGGAAATGAATAAAATTATGGAGTTGGAAAAAGAAATTGCCAATGTAAAACACATTATTTTTCTGGGATACTGAATAATGTCAACCACTTTTTTTGTTTCATTCCCTCCAGATAAAACTGTGGCTCTTTAAGTCAGTGATAAAAATGCATAGGCCTGTAATGGATCATTGACTTCAGGAGAACCCTTGAAACTATAGTATCTCCTGAAATACAAAACGTACACTAAATTTGACAAATGGCAAACAATCTGCACCTCACCACCTACCTATATAATAAGTAGTTGCATCAGAATCCTACTCTCAGACTGTGAAATGACCTCATGACCCAGGAAGTTACGTGCAAAACCATGACAGTTTTTCTAAACAATTCTACTTTATGTTATTTTGAAATGCAGAGGTCATCTCTGTCATTCTGCTAAGAACTTGGTTAGAGGGTAAGTGATGCCATTGATTCCAGCCTCTGGGATTGCTGAGCTCAGGAATAACCTTGGCAACACAGCACTTCCCCCTACTTCCAAGCAAGCCCTTGGAGACTGGGCTAGCTAACACTCTGTTCTCTTGAGTCTTCCGACGGGCCATGCAGGCATGAGCAAGTGAACTCTGGCCCGAGGCAGTGTACAGCCTAGTGATTAAACCTGACCTCTGTCCCTTAACACTGCAAGCAAAGCCCTCTTCTCAGGACCCCATCTGCTCACCAAGGCCATCCGGCCTCATCAGAATCTTGAAGACTGAAGATAACAGAGAGTGATTTTAGTCTTGTTAGGGTCACATGACCCCCGCCCCCTCCATTCCAACCAGAGCCACACTGCTTCAAGGAACACCTTGGTGGAGGACAGTTTGCTGGATTGCTCGTGGTTCTCCGAGGAAACCTGAGCTGCTAGAGAAGTTTCTTGCCCTGGGATTTTATCACTCCTCTGTTCCCATGCAGTGTTCCCCGTGGGTAGCCTCAGCTCTATAGCATGTCTCTGATATACTTGCCACTGTGTTGGGCTTCCGCTGCCTTAGGCTCTGAGGTTGGCGCAGTATCATAGTCATCTTTGTGTCACTCACGTGTACTCAGCAGTGTGCAGGTTGCCTCGTATGAAGGAGATGCTCAAGATGATTGCCCTCATCAATGAGGACACAGGTTACCCAACGGGGGACACTGTCGCACGGTGTTCATTTTACACCTTCCTTTCTGTGTCTCCCCACTGTTAATCCCAAGCACTAACCTGGGAGTTGCTGTCATAACCTTATCTTTAGACTCAATAGACAAAACTAACTTGGATGCCATTAAATGCAGGTCACTAATTAGTGAGAAGGAAGGCTAGTCTTGAAAGTATGAAGGATGGCCGTTCTTGACCAACTTGCATCCTGTCTGCCATGGACTCAGAATGTGCTGACTGACATAAATTGTTGTAAAAAAAAGAAAAGAAAGAAAAAAAAAGTTGGCATTTCCCTTCCCCACGGCTTAATTTTAACTGGAATGCTGAATTCTACAGTGAGGATGGAAGCCAGTGTTTGAGAGATAAATTGTTATAGATGACTACAACAAAAGAAAAAGTTATAATATGAGATATCTAAAGACCTAACTGAATTGACCACAAATATTACTGAGGTGGTTTGGGCAGTTACCAAAATGTAAAATGATTTTTGAAGACTTTTAAACTTGATGTCGTGGGTAAACACTGTTAATTATCACTGAATATACATAAAATGATGATTTTTTTATCCAAAATCAAATTATCTTATAGCTAGCCTATGTTTTATTTTCCAAGCTATGTGTGTTTTTCTAAAATAACAACCTAGTGTTAAACCCACAGGCTACAACTAAACCCGAAGACAGAAATGACCCAATGCTGCTCTATAACAAAATGACAATGACAGAGCTCCAAAATAACTTTTCTCTAGAGATCAACGGGAAGGTAAGCAGGAAGTTTTCAAGTTCTTTGTGCCCTTTCCTGAACCATTTCTTAAGATCATAACATTACATTTTAATTTAGTGAAGTATAAATTAACTTCAAAATGAATTTCAATGACAGTCACTATTTGATTTCATGAGAAGCCCTGTGGCAGGGGGACTTTGAAACTGCCTTTTCTGTTTGTATGTAGAATGAGGTTCAAAGGGAAAAATTCCTTTTAAGGGAAGTGTGCAGGATTTTAGACACTAAGCAGAACAGGCTTTGGAGAAAGGTAGGGATCTTTTTGAGAGTTCATTACACTGTAGCGCTATGTGTGCCGTCAAGCAAGAAGACACAGAATTTCTCTTTAGGTCTTAGCATAGCATAATTTACTCATAGAACTTCCTGTGCTCTCATCCCAAGACATCTGTGAAGGTATTCAGAACAAAAAGTAAGGAAACCTGTCTCAGTGGCCACTAATAAAACAGGGCTGGCTCGTTTTCAGTTAGCTGGTCTCCAATGCCATCCTTCGTGCCATTTTCTTGTGTAGTAACTGGGCCCCATGACGGGGACATGAAGCCACATTTTATAGAAATATGTCAGAACTCCCACAGTCAGCATTCACTCTGTACTAAGTCTGTAAAACTGATTCTGGTTACTGTCTCAGCGAGTTGGTCATCTTGCATATGCTTCTTGATACAATGTATTAAACAAACCTGTTCTGGAAGACTGGTCCAAAGTGCCGAAGGAAAGCAAGTACTTTAGCATAGCACTTTCTGCACAGTAAGGGGCCTCTGTGTACCTGTGCAAGGATCTAAGATACTGAGATCTTAGGCACTCAGTTCCCACGCCAGGGGAACAATAGACAAGACTTGGTCTTTAGAGCTTAGCTACTGAAGTTTAAAACCTGCACGCCTGTCTGTAGAAGTAAGATGAATAGCACAAGACATGCTGTCTTGTCTGACTCCAGAGCACCTCTGCTGTGGCCATGCTCTGCTCACAGCTGGGACTGGGCCCAGGTGCACCGCTGTGTTCGAATGAACTGTTTATTAATACCCACTATTGAAAGACAGTCTGTGTGTACTTGCATTCTCATAAGCTAAAGACGCTTTGCTTTTAAAAGTGCATTCTTTTTTCCTCTTTTTGAAAAAGTATTTCCTAGAGAAAAGATGACAATGAGCCTAATTTCTAATTCTGTGCTCGGTGTGCATAACGGATTTGTTTTTGCTCTTAAATGGTTGGTTTAATTCTGCTATCTAAATAATCACATTGGAGAACTAATACTTATTCAAAAGCTGATGGAAACAATTGACCAAAAAAAATCTCAAACACAAACTGGCTATTATATTAAGCATTTTATGATGCAGCTGATACCCTTCAGCATGTGACCTTCTAACCGTAATTCTTGGAACCAAGAAGAGAGAGCCATAATTACTGAATGCTTTGTGCCTGCTTTTTCCCCAGCCATTCAGTTGGTCAAATTTCACAAATGAAATCATGTCAACTGTGAATATTAATATTCAAAATGAGGAAGAAGTGGTTGTTTATGCTCCAGAATATTTAACCAAACTTAAGCCTATTCTTGCCAAATATTCTGCCAGGTAAGTATGTCAGAGTGCCCACATCCTCAAAGTTTACATTTCATGTCAGTCTTTAGAAGCTTTGCAGCCTCATCTTTTCTGTTGCTGGGTGGTGGGTTTTTTTTTATACAGAGATCTTCAAAATTTAATGTCCTGGAGGTTCATAATGGATCTTGTAAGCAGTCTCAGCCGAAACTACAAGGAGTCCAGAAATGCTTTCCGCAAGGTGAAGACAAAATCTCTCTTTTCTTAAGACTTAAAGCAAAAAGAGATACATGGTTATAAATTCTTGCCATGCACACTGCTAGAATGTGCTGGTCATTTCCAATATCAAAAATGTCCAGATTTGGTTGTTTTGCACATGTGTAGGAAGAGGTTCTGGGCTTGGCCATCCTATGCTGGTCTGCTATGGTATCCTGAGCTCATAGCCCTGTAACAAGTTACCTGTAGTTGTACAAAAGAATACTGCCTTGATTTGTTTGTGTTGCCAGTGTATTAAAATCCATCTCAGAGGGACCATTCTCAGTTGATTTGATTTTCAGGAGCTCATAGCACACTGGGCATACATAAAGACAGACTTCTTTGTCATTACATTCCTGAGGGAGTACCCCAACCTGAAGCTACAACCTCAAAGCTTTTTCTTAGGCTTGCACGTACATTATCCACACAATCATTCAGTCCTGGTATTAAGAGAATGGACAGTAGGGACTGAGGAAGGAAAACCTCTAACATACTGGTGTCATCCTGGCAAAAGAATAGCTGCTCCGACATTCCGTTTTCTCCACTGGAAATACATCAGCAAGTTTAATACAGGGCTGAGATGTGCCTCAATTGCATCATCCCTAAAAAGCCAATAAACACACAAAATGTCAAGCAATGGTAGCTCACACTGGCAATCCCACCCAGCTGTGAGAGTTGGAGGGGATCAGAAGGCCAGCATCATTCATGGTCCATTTTGAGGCTAGTCTGGGCTACATGAGCCTTTGTCTTAATAAATGAATAAATAAATAAATAATAAATGCTGCAAAAATGTTACTGACAATCCCCTTATTGATACTCAAATTTATTTCCATAATTTTCCTGAAGTGCCTGAACTTCAGTTGAAACATTAAAAGGAGAAATGTGTTCTCTTGTGTGTAAGATTTCCTTTCTGCTCCTTTATTGAACATTTCTTCTTGCTTATGTTTGTATGGTGGGTACAATGTTGCATGTTCTCTCCCAACGCTCTCCGGGAGACTGTTAACTTGTAACAGCTAAAAGTTCTACTGGGACCTGCCTCTGGAAAGATACCTTTGTTTGCACAAGCCCAATATTTTTTTAAGTAAACAACACAGTCAGATTGCACTTTATCGTAGTTTGGGGACAGCTGCTCTGTGAAGAGAACACTGCGGGAATTCGAGGCAGATATAAAAGACGAGTCTCGCAGACTGCGCGCTCTTGCGGCTCATCCCTGACTCCTGGTCAGACGCCGTTTTTTCTTCTCCTGCATAGGCCCTTTACGGCACTACGTCAGAAACAGCGACATGGAGACGGTGTGCCAACTATGTCAACGGGAACATGGAGAACGCTGTGGGAAGGCTTTACGTGGAGGCAGCGTTTGCTGGAGAGAGCAAGCACGTGGTAACGTTGTAGCCCGGCACATGGGCGTCTATCTAAGTAGCATCCTGGCAGTTACAATTGTTCACATCTTTGCTCAATTTCTATTAATTAGGCAACTAAGCTGTGGTATCCATCCATATCTGGTTATGTCTCTGCCTTCCTGTTGAACTGAACGTGCTTATCTGTTTCCCAGAAGCAGTGACTTTAGTGTTCACAGTCATGTATTAGACATATGAGGTCTTTATTGCCCAGTTGATAATTTCCTTAAATACCAACAAAGTAAACTGCAGTTTGTACTTTCTAATTGCTACTGAAATGAAGACACTGGAGCTCAATGGCATAGTAAAACAATGTACTGAAATGCTACTTCTTGCATTAATTAGCCCACTGGTGACAGGGACAGCTAGTATTCTAGTCTTCTAAAAGGGTCACAAGAACCAGGACATTCTGATGGTGATTTTAGCTTTGGGTGTATAGTAAGACCTATTTAATTGGGAAATTTTTTGCTACCAGCGGTATTGCTTTGATGTAATAGTCAGTCCCATATGCTCATTGACATCCATTTGTTTGGGGGGTCACAATTCATCTGTAAATTTACATGTGTTAGCATACCATTGCATCCCATTGCAGCACGTAGCTCTGTTTTACAAAGAATGAACTCAGGGGCTGTGTTTCTATATTAGACGGTTGATAAACTAACATTCTCTCTGCTTTGAGGTCGAAGATTTGATTGCACAAATCCGGGAAGTTTTTATTCAGACTTTAGATGACCTCACCTGGATGGACGCTGAAACAAAAAAGAGAGCTGAGGAGAAGGTAAGAACCAGTCAGGGCTGTCAGAGGAAATGTATTCATGGGGAAAGATGAACTTCAAAAATATTTAGGAAAAAAATTCATCAGAATTTGAATAGAAGCTATCAACCTAGGACGGGGAAAACAGCTCAGTTGGTAATTGTTTAGCTTGTAAGCGTGAGAACCTGGGTTCAGTCCCTAAAACCCATGTTTAAAAAAAAAAACAAACAAAAGTAGATGTGGTGGCACACATCTGGAGTTCCCCTGCAGGGTGTGTATCCCTAGCTCACTAACCAGCTAGCCTACTCAGTGAACTCCAGGACAATCAGAGACTGTCTCGGAGTGGGGCCGGGGAGCAGTAAATAGAAGTAAGCAATGGGATAATAAGCATAAACACATTTAAACAATGCTGTAAAGATAATAATTAACAGTGAGCAAATACGAGGTAGATAACAAAGACATCCACATCCCACTCATGCAGCTAATGCCATTCATTTAATTTGAGAAGAGCTGCCCTGACTTTGGGGTACAAGGGGTAACATAGAGACTGAAGGAACCAATATTCAGGAGCGCATTAACACAAAGCCTATGGAACGCTCATCTGTTTTCTCAGCTGAATCAATGAAGTGGAAAGATAATTATGTTCCTGCAAGACTGGGAGCACTAAATGCTATTCCTTCAATAAAAGTGAAAAGTCTGGAGAGAGAGAGAGAGAAAAATTTTCATGAAAATACATTATATGTGGAGCAGTGGCTTTTGTCAGTTTCCACGGGAAAGCTGCAGCCTGTAAGGACGGACAGGGCATTAGACACTAAATTTCAAGCCTTTTTTTACTTTGTTTTTTTTTTTTAAACTAAAAGCAAAGAGCCAGTCATTGCAAGGAAGTGTTGTCAGGTGTTCCTTTGGTAATGGTACACCAAGCTGTTTAATTGCTGTTTGTGGACATGTGATGTTTGTATTTGAAGGTTGTGGTTATGGAGATGATTGTATCTCCACCTTCAATGCTGTAATTTTCACAGGCCCTCGCTATCAAAGAAAGGATTGGCTACCCCGATGACATCGTTTCCAACGACAACAAACTGAATAATGAGTACCTTGAGGTAAGTCTCAGCAGCAATGTGTGGGGCTGGTGGCAATGTCCCTGTAGCTCAGGAATTCAGGCACTGTAAAACAGCCTAAAAGCACAGATAACTCTAATATCCCAGTTATGTTTAATTTAAACTTTCTTGTCATTCTACTGCACTGTATTTGGTTTCCAGATATTTCAGTAGCAGTGGGAAAAACCTTGCAGCCTTTTGAGTAGTGTTTCTCAACTTGTGGGTCATGACCCCTTTGGCAAACCTCTGTTTCCAAAAATATTTGCATTACAATTCATAACAGTAACAAAATTACAGTTACAGAGTAGCAATGGAAAACATTATGGTGGGGGGTTTACCGCAACATGAGGAACTGTATTAAAGGGTCACAGCCTTAGGAAGGTTGAGAACCACTGCTTTAGAGCACCAGGAATAGACATCTAGGTAATGAGTGACAGGCTGCCTACAGGTCCTTACAGTCACTTATATGAGCTATAAAAAGTCAAACAGGCTTCTACATTCTAATCATTATCCCTGTGGGCATCACACAGTTTGCCTCCTATACTAAAAACCAAATATAACTGATAACTGTTTTCTTAATTCTCCTTGTTAGAGGGGCAACCCTGGTTAAAGTCACTCAGTACCTGTGATCAGACTTGGCTAAGATACTCAGTGTTTCCGGTCACAACAGGTGACACACCCCAAGTCTGAGATGACAGTGATGGCTGACCCACCAAGCATTCATGGGATGTGTAGGTTTACACACCAAAATGCTCACTCCTTTTTTCCATTTGCAGAAAAAACTTAGTTGTCTTCCCCCCCACCATCTCCTGTCCCCCATTCCCCACCTCCCTACAAAAGTGGATTGTCTTGGCCCCAAATTCCAGTTCTGTTTACCTTTTAAATCTTAGCAGATGACCAGAAACTTCTCCACTTCTCCACACCCCTCAACTTGAAAATGCTGATCTCAGCTGTCAGGCTACAAGATTATCAGAAAGATAAAATGAGTATAACATCTATCTCAATAGGGAGAAACAGTACCAAGCACAGCGGGCACTAAACAAAGAGGGTGTGGTTATTATACACAGTTGTGGTATGGAGACTGATATCAGTATTGTGAGGCTGGCCTGACCTTTGGTTCATGAGTGGTTGTAAAAAGAATACACTGAAATCATGATTCAGCTAGAACAGGACTGCCTACTTATTGGGTATAAGGCATCCTTTGGTAAGTTCTTAATGCCGCTTCTTAACTGTATTAGCTTGCTTCCTAGCAATACTGTGATGATGCTGTCATCAAAATTCCTCCAACCCCCATTTTTTTTAACCTAATACAGTTGGACTACAAGGAAGATGAGTACTTTGAGAACATAATTCAAAATTCGAAGTTCAGCCAAAGCAAGCAACTGAAGAAGCTGCGAGAGAAGGTGGACAAAGATGAGTGCGTACATCTTTCTTTCTAATTGTTCCTTCTGGGGCCGGGCCTTCTCACTACTGGCTCTGGTTTCTTGATAGCGGCGATGCCTCCTTCCCTTGGGAAGCAATGAGAGCATCTAGTAGGATGGTACTAACAACAAGGGCCAGGGACTTCAAACCAAAACTTTTCTTCACTATGGCTCCCTCACATTTACCTTCGTCTCTTGACTGAGTGGCTTCTCACCCTGCCGCCATCTCTGGTGTTTTCGTGGACAAGGTTCTCAGACACACTTTAGCTTAATGCAACTTAGCTCTTTAAGCCCACGCTTGGGCTTAGCTCAGCATCCAGACTATCCTTCCCTTACTAGTGCCTATTGGCCAAGCACCCTGTAAGCCCCTCCCCCATCTCTGATTGCTCCATGTGACACTTCCCTTAGCCCTGCAAACTTACACAGGAGATGCCAGGGATCATTTTGGGCAATCGCCTTTTGGATTCTACTAACTTCTTCATACTTGTCTCGCCAATACTTCTTAAGGACTATTGCTTTTGACCGTGAGTTTTTCAACTGGATAGGTAATATCCTGAGACTGACCGGCATGTATAGGTAATACCCCAAGATTGACCGGCATGTGTGCTGAGTGCTCAAACCCACAGAGCTCCTTAGACTGGCCCTCTTCCAAGATGTTTAGCCCTGTAGAACTGAAGCTCTTATTAGCACCTAGCGCCAAGCTCACTTTCAAGTAAAAGCAGTGAATTACTGAACAACTGAAAACTAAATGATCCACCTTGATTCGAGTATTGACTAACAGTGTGCTTCATTCCTTTTTTTTTTTCTACAACTGCTATTCTAGAAAAAAAAAAGACTAAGTCCATTTGTCATTAGGTCCTAGGAAAATAAGCGGCAAATGATGGCAGAAGGGAGATGGTTATGTGCAGCAGAAGTGGTGTGATTCAATAACCTGTACCCCAGGAAAGAAATGTGCCAAAAGTCCAAAGGCATTTTTAAGGAAACTTAGTGCACAGCCTATGTGCTTAGGTAGTCCTGTTTGAGTCTTTCCCAAAAACTCTGACACTGCTACAATGTAACTCCAAGGTCTCTGCCACCCAGTGCCAGCTTTCTCTCTCTCTATCTCCCCATTCTTGTCCTCCACACTGTATGCAAAGGTCCACATGCCTGGAATCACATGGGCAACATTAAAAAAAATACTGATGTCCCAGCTCAGTGTTCCTAGATCATGATGCATTTGCCCAAGTGATCCCCCGTCACTCAAGTGCTGGAATCCTTCCTAAGCAACACCCTCCATGTATGGGCCTCTGAATTAGTTTCCTTTTGTATCATCTTTTTCCATATTTAGTAAAAAATATATATTTCCCAAGGCGATGCCTTTAATTTTGCAAGATTTATTTTTCTGTTTTAAAATCACCAGAAGCCGGGCGGTGGTGGCGCACGCCTTTAATCCCAGCACTCGGGAGGCAGAGGCAGGCGGATCTCTGTGAGTTCGAGGCCAGGCTCGACCGACAGCCTCCAAAACAGTACAGAGAAACCCTGTCTTGAAAAACAAAAAGAAAAAAAAAAGAAAAAAACAAACAAACAAACAAAAAAGAATAAAATCACCAGAAATACTCTGGCTGTAATTGCATTAAACAATTAGGACTGAATCCTATGAGGTATCTTATAATAAAAGCTCCCTTTGTTTCATTTGGATTTCTCCCCCATGAAAGCTTCTGACTGACGTGGCACCTGTTTAATAGGAGAAATTTCACCACTGTTGTCTCTTTCCTTTTTTCATGCATCCCAGGGTCCAAATCCTCCCTGACCTTCAGAAAGACAAATCTATAGCTTCCACTTGTTCGTAGCCTGAAGTCACAGGTCCTACTCAGATCCTCATTCCCAACGACTTGTAAGAGGAATATATGTTCACATGCATACTGAAAGGATAGGAGAGAGACTGTGGACTATTATGAGCTCATATTACAGAGTACGTTAGAGAAATGCTGATGCGTTAAAAATTCCAAGACACTAACTCATCTAGATGAATCCAGTTATCTAACTAGTGACTCCTAGATAACCTCACTCCACGTGCCCAGTGGGCACACAGACATTTGCTTCCTGATAGTCTATCACCCTTATTCCATCTGAGTATTTGAATCTGGCCCAGATTGGTCTACAGAGCTCCACAGTGAATATCTAGCTGGTTAGCAAGCATTTCTGTGTGGTTTTATCATTAACCGCACAAGTACAACATTTTCTGGTTAGGCAAAAGTTAATCTTGTTCCGCATATCTGCCTGTATTCTAAAAGCTTCGATCTTGCCCCCACCCAGATAAAAGCCAGGGCCTCGTCTTAATCACTCTGGACTTATCCATTTTATCTATAGTGCTCTATCCAAAGGAAAAGGACTGCGTTCACCTGCTGCTGACTAGACATTTTGTAAGAATGTGTGTACGCAGCTCGGTTTAACCATCTCTGCTCTGCCCCCTTCCATGTTTCTCTCTTTTTAAAAAACCTTGATTGCCAATTACCTCTTGTTTTCACTTCATCCTCACAAGGCTATCCCCACACCAGGGTCTTGATGATACAGCTCCGAGTCATGTTCTGCCTGGTCAGGTACTTTCCCTGTGGTTCCCTGTTGCTTACGTTCCACCTTTGAAAGTTCCAGAGTTCCCATAGCTTTCCAGGGTTCCTTGACAGTCACCCAAACTCCCACCTCGGTCCAAAACCCCCGTGGTATTCAGTGCTTCCAAACCACCCCTCTACCTTTCCCTCCTTACTTCTTAACTTGCAGCATCCTGCTTCGTCTGTTTTGTCTTTGAGACCGGGATTCTCTATGTAGTCCTGGGGGATCCTCTGTGTAGTCCTGGGGGATTGTCTATGTAGTCCTAGGGGATTGTCTATGTAGTCCTGGGGGATTGTCTATGTAGTCCTGGGGGATTCTCTATGTAGTCCCGGAGCTTGCTACGTGGACCAGGCTGGCCTCAGGCTTACTGAGATCTTCCTGCCTCTGCCTCCCAAGTGCTGGGATTGATGGTGTACACCATCACCCTTGTTTGTCTGAACAGACACCTCTGCATGGCTTGACCCAAGTCTTGCCCCTTTATTCATCGTACCTCCCCGGTAGCCTTTTTTGCTCACCCACACAGAACTGTCAGAGCCTCAGCATAATTTGATGTTGCTCAGGAAACTAATCTGTGTAGAAAGAAGAAATCACGTATGTATTTATGTAAAAAAAAATCGGACACCAATTAACAGAACGTGGACCCTTCATATATGGTGATAGGGTGTGCAAATGGAACGGCCAATTTGTGACAATGTTGGTAAAGTTAATTCAGCAGAGAGAGAAAAAAAAACCTCCATCTCCACATTCTCCCCCCACACACACACACAGCTCTCCATCTCCACATTTTACCCACACACACACAGCTGGTGAAGATATATACCACTGTGGCTCTTTTCTGTTAAAACAGTTTCTAAGACTTAAACTCAAGGAGTGTGCGTGCGATGTGTCCAAGCTAATCATTTTGCTAAAGGGCCTCCTCCCCTTGCCCTCGTGAACAGTTCACACCTTCAAAGAACAGGAATTTCAATAATTTTAAAACTTCACATGGTTTCTGGATGCCTATGCACATATATATATATATATATATATATATATATATATATATATATATATCTGAGTGTGATGTCTCCTGAGGGTTTGGTGCAGTTGCAGAGGAATTTCAAACACGTCCAGTTCAGAGAGAAAAAAAAATAGCACCAACTGGGCCGTTTAAAAGTGTTGGCAAGATTACTTAGTAACCCATCTAAAATCATTTACTTCTACTAACATGATTATTCACTGAGAGGTAATAGAACAAAAATAAACCCCAAGGCCTGTGTGTTCATGAACAACAAAACAGAAAGGCTTTCTTAAGAGGTTTTTAGACTTGGTACTGACCTTAAAAAAATGGGTAAATCATTCTCTGAGAATAACAGCTACAAGTTAGATCAAATGAGCAGAACAGGGTAGTGGTAAAAAAACAAAGGAGCAGTTACTGACTCATTGGATACCTTCCTGACTTCATGCCTGCTGAGTTTTCTGATTGGGACAAATCAGACAATGGCAGACTGTAATTAGTAGAAACCTAGAGACCACAGTAGAGGACCAAAACATCCCATGCTTCCGCCTAACTGAACAGGACAGTTCAGAAGAACTCTGGTCCTTTCACTATGAGTAATCTCTTGAGAGGCCCATGCTCTGATAGGATACTGCTGTAGTTGCCACAGCTCTCTATGGCCACAGAAAGGCAATGTCCTTCATCCCCCCCCCCCCTTCCCTCGAGTCACAGGGCAAGCTGGATCAGTCCTCGGTGGGACACTGTGGAGCAGCCGTTAATAGGCCTGCTCTGATAATTTGGTGAGTGCCCATCATGTCCCCAACAGCCCATCATGCTCCCAGCAGTGTGCTAAGTCCTAGTGGTTCAAATTAAAAATAAAACATGGACTGTGAAGCTACCTTCTAGGCAGCTGGTGACAGACAGGCAGTGCCCTTATGGCAAGTCAGGTAAGCACAAAGGGTTACATTGTATAGAAGATGTTTGGTTCCTTTACTAGGAGTTCTCAGGATTACCTACTATCAGGACAAGTAGATTCTCCCGATTCAGTTATCAGGAGGGTGTTGGTCCTCAGACGGAGTCAGTCACCAACTGCACCTTAGTTAGGGTCACTTGTCAGAAGCCATGTTCCGAGAAGGTCTTTAGTTTCCTGAACTTTTGTTTAGGCCTCAATGTACTATGTCTATGGAAAAGGAAAAAGTATGAGTTGTGAGCTAGTAGAGATGCTGGGAAGTAGTGTGAGCTAGTCAGACCAAAATTAGGTTATCTGCAGTTACTTATTAGCTCTGAAAACAGAGCGTCTGAGCTTTGTTTTTGTTGTGGTGGTAGTGGTGTTTTTCTTTTGTCTTTTGTTTTTTTTTTTTAGTTTTTGTTGTTGTTTTATTGTTTTGTTTGTTTTTTCTAAATTTGGTTAATGACATCTACTTTTGCCTTGAAAAGAAAGGGATACGGTAGGAGAGAAAGAGAAAAGGTTTTCTTTATATTGACATTAAAACAGCCTTGATCACTGTGTTGACATTTGTGTATCCTATAGATCAGCAGTTTGGTGGTGGGGTTTGATAGGAAGGCAAGCGGGCCATCTTTCCCTCTTCCTTAAATATATTTTCCCCAGTCCCATTGCTTAGTGTCTCCATGTGGTAGGACAGAGTTTAGGAGCTATACAGTGACTCGATGACCCTACCTGCAGATGGGAGGTGCCATCAATACTGCCAGGATGATCTAGACGGGCAGTGAGAGCATGTGGGGAGCATTTGAGGAAAGAAAATAAAAAGCGTAAAAGATCATAATGATCTGAGACTTCAAGAGAATTCTCCTTTCACCCAGGAATACTTGAAGGAGGCACACACACAAAAATCTATTTATCGTACTGCTGGTTTCAAAGGAGTTGCTTTCAGCGTAGATGCTGAGAATTGAACATGTCCAAGGAGAAAGGCATTGATCGTCTTGTTCTTTGTCTGAAGCTTTAGATTCTGTGCCTGAGAAGAAGTTCATTCCAAGTGCTTTTGCAGCCCACTGACTTCACTTTGTCTTAAAGGCTGTTGAGTTTGGATGTCCATATCTGCTTTTCTTACCTGCCTAGCCCTCTCGGGGTACAAAGAGGCAGAAGGGGAACATTTGGCTTGTCTCTCAAGCATGTATTTTAGTTAGACATCCTCTTTGAGGATGACAAGTTGCTTATTTAAAACAAATTAAGATTACCTGGCCAAACTACTTTTCAGAAATTAAAGGTAAATTGTAATAAATATATATATATATATATATATATATATATATATAAAGCTCTTACTTCCTCCATCCCCACTCTGTCTCCCCACCACTCAGCCCATGCTCAGGCATACACACACACAAACCACTGGAGGCAGGAAGAGAGCAGGAGATCTTGGTGTTTTGTTTCTTCTCCCAAGTGTGAGACCGCAGGTAAGAGGCTGCTGGGGTCCGGCCTGCACACTTGGAAGGTGACTTGAGGTAGCATACAATAGCCATTATTTTAGAGCAATAGCAACTCCATTTGTTTCTGATTTTACTTTTCTTCTTTACGTGCATTTTCTCTCCCAAGCGCTACTGTCATGGCCAGCATTGTGCGAGCTTTACAAATAGAAGCATCTCCATTTTTGTAGACGAATTGAAATCAAGCGAACTTGGAATTTTCATTACGTCACTGTTAAATTTTGACAACATCTCATTTGCCTCATTAACTTATCTTTTCCCATTGGTATTTGGAGTATTTCACAACTAACTACACACTATCAGACACTGAGTCTGTCTCTGTTATCAGTACCCTACTTAAAATGTAACAACTGATATAATTGTAGCACTTCAAGCTCTGATGATGATCTGGGACAAAAAATGCTCTGGGCTTTTGAATTCGTATACTTCTCCAGAGTGGGCTGAGGATACATCATTAAAAACTTTGGTGGGCAGGGGGCAAAGTGCCCAGTAAGCCTCCCCACCATATTTCTGATTTTATCAGTGTTCCATGACTATAAACGGCCACATGCATTCTAGAAGATATAACTCAAAATAGACTCTCCCTGCTCAAGAGTTAAAAACATAAATCAAAATGCAACAGACTCCTTAAAGTAATGTTTCAGAGCGGTGGGAAGGCACTACGTAAAAGGGATGGCACCTATTTTTGTGAAAGCAGGAAGCAAGCCTTAGCAGGCCCCATTGTACGAAGTCCGTCTTTGCACGTCTGCCGCCTTTAACCATGCGTCTGACGTGCGCTGTCTGAAGCAGCATTCGCTTAGTATATCTGCTCTTTCTCCTCGGTGTAGCGCTTCATCCTAAAATAACCCTCATTGCCGCTGTTTCTGCCTCACCACTAGGACTTCTGGTTAGTTCAGAGCCAGGTAATTTATAAGGATTCGTGGTCATCACCCATAAAATGTACAGCTGTTGTCACCAACTGAGAATTTGTAATCAAGAAACTAACTCTAGTGCCACTGAGACAAGGAGAAATTCACACACCATTTTGGTGAAAGCTTTTAATGGTTGCAAACTCTTGCCACACTTGCCATGAAAATGTTGAGAGTACACCAGGGGGTATTTTTTTTTTAAATCATGCAACAGTGTTTTTTTTTTTAGGATTGTCTGAGCATATTCTGACCCTTTCACCTGCTCCGACGAACTTCCCCTGAACCTGAAACACGGTACCTGTGTGAACCTATGCAAACACGTCACTTTCCCTCCTCAACACACTTGTTGATACAACCAACTTATTTGTGTTGGTCACATAAATGAGACCCACTTGGGGTCTGGTTCCTGTGTTTTAAGGTAGTATCCTGGGTTTACAAATGCTTGCCTTTCTCATGAGCCATTGCAAACTGTGTAGTAAGCAAGTGGCGTTTAATTAAAACAAGTAAGATATATTCTTGTTAATCACCAACTTGCAGGAAAATGCTAAAATATTCATGACTCAGCTAGGAAGGACTGATATGTGAGCCCCATCGTGCTTAAAGTGTTTTCCGGTATTAAAATAACGGCAGTAGAAAACGTTACCACTTCTAGGTTCATTGTTTTCCTAAGGAGAAGTGCATAAAAACTGAACAAGATTTTTGTAAAGTCGTGCATCCAATTTTTATGTGAAGTTTTAGTCACGTTACTGAAAAAATAACAGAAGTTTTCTGATGGTTGTTACATATGGTCTCTGCCAGTTATTTATTTATTTTTTGGTTTTTCGAGGCAGGGTTTCTCTGTATTGTTTTGGAGGCAGTCCTGGAACTCGCTTTGTAGACCAGGATGGCCTCGATCTCACAGAGATCCGCCTGCCTCTGCCTCCCGAGTGCTGGGATTAAAGGCGTGCGCCACCAACACCCAGCAAAGGAGCTGAAATAGTGCCTGTCCCTCACATCCACGGTAGTTACTGACATTATGACTAATCTGTTGACTTTCTACTGCTTACCTGGCACAGCAGAGGCTAGACAGAGCTCTGATAGAAACTGAATCATTCTACTCTTGTGATTTGCTACTAGGAGGATAGCAGTTGTCACACTGGCTATTGCCCTGAAGCGGAACTAAGACAATACCCCATGATTGTCTTACATGTGTGTGGAGATGCTAACATTAAGAGGTCATCTGAGGTCAAGGGTGTCCATTTCCAGTGAACTCATATATTAGCTTATTAAGATTGGAATAATATTTATGTTGCTCATACAAGCTTAGTTTATGCTGATTGATAGGCATCTTTTATAGTATCTAAGTAGGAAGAAATGAGAGTCATAGTTCCTATCATTCAGCCCTCGGATTATCGTGAGATCAGTGCTTTGATGTCTTTTAACTTATACACACTTGTGTAACAATTATCTAGTTTAGGAAATGACAGCAATTCATAGATAATTGTTACACAAGAGTATGTGAGGAAGGTAAAACTAAACGAAACACTGGTCTCATGACAACTCTACTTACAAACCACCTGGATTTTACTTTGCAATCACATGAAAATATGCCTTCCCTCAATTAGCTATAATGTTGTGTTTTTATGAATATCTTTTAAAAGGCTTCTTTTAGTCTTAGTCATGTATATGTTTATGGGTGCAGGGTCCTCAGAGGCCAGAAGTATCAGATCCCCTGATGTGCTTGCTGAGAAGTGAACTCTGATCCTCTGAAAGAGCAATTCACGTTTTTAACCACTGCACCCTCTCTCCCGGTGCTGCATTTTAAAAACAAGATTTAAGGAGCAATAATTTGCAGTTCATTGTTCCAAGCTAAGATATCTGAGCTCCCAAAGAGGCTCATTATGCACTAAGAACTGAAATTGTTAAAGCTACTTGAATCTGGTTTTACTAGCCTTTGTTTCATATGTTGTCACATGCTCCAGAGTTGTTGGAGCCATTCAGCACCAAAGCATAAAGCCAAGCACATTTCGATATCATTTTAACCTCCTGTAGTTCAGATGCCTCCATAAAAATTGAAATAACAGACCTGTAGACCCGGATATATGTGGGATTTTCAATAAAGAGAGAGATATTTTCCAAGGAGCCTTAATGCTAGCATGCTGGTGTCAGTCTGTTGATCACATTTCACCGAGAGCATTCACATTTATTTTTGTGGTAAGCAGATCGGATGAGATAATAAAGTGTCTTTTGTAACAAGTTCTTTCGTTTTCCACAGGTGGATAAGTGGAGCGGCTGTAGTCAATGCATTTTACTCCGCAGGCAGAAATCAAATAGGTAAGACATATCCCTGAATAATCCCTTAGTAACTTTTCTCAGCCTACGGTTTGCTGTGTGGCCAGCTTTCAACACCCCTCTAAAAGTGACGGTGGTACTGAGCTGTTGTTTCACTTCCTGAAGTTTCCTGGTATTCATGGACCTCTTTTCAGTGTAACAGGAAAATTAAAATTAGTCCAAATCACAGTAGGTAGTTGCTTCTTCTGTGACATCCAATCTATAACGTAAATGATTTTATCTTATTTCTATGTGCTCTTTGAAAGTTCCTGTTTAAAATTATACTGACTCTGGGAGCCACTGAGCTTCCGCCCTTCAAAGGTTCTGGAGGCTTGAGGAGCCATTTCTCTCGGTAATTCAGCAGGCAGTCAGGCTTCACCAGGGATTCTCCTATTATTTGTCTTCCTTACTCCAAAGCTCGCAAGGAATTCAGAAGGCTGGAAAAAAAAAAACCCAGTGCCCTGTCACCCTCAGTTGTCAACTTGACAGAGTCTAGAGTCATCTGAGAGGAAAGCCCCACCCAAATTTAGCCTGGAGATGTGTCTTAGGGAGCTTGTCTTGATTGTTAATTGACATAGGTGGGGCCAGTGTCAAACAGACAGTACCATCCCCAGAGGGGGAGCCTGAGCTATGTGAGAAGCAAGCTAAGCCTGAGTGTGTGTGTGTGTGTGTGTGTGTGTGTGTGTGTGTGTGTGTGTGTGTGTATGTGAGAGAGAGAGAGAGAGAGAGAGACAGAGAGAGACAGAGACAGAGAGAGAGAGAGAGAGCCATCAAACGGCATGCCTCCTGACTTCACTTAGTGATAGACTGTAATCAGGGGGTGTAGGAGGCTGGGTAACTCTGTTCTTGCTCTAAGTTGATCTTGGCCATGGTGTTTGTCACAGCCACAGAAAGGAAGCTGGGACAGCTGGAATGGACTTTACCATATAGAATTATGTTACCCAGCTACTTTTGCTTGAAACAGAAAAATAACTTTTGTTGCACCAATAGTAATATCATGAACTATGGTTAAGATTAATATGAGGAATAGATGACAAACTTCACAAGGCAAAGATATATTTTCTCTCTTCCTGGGTAAACCTGGGCATATTTGAAATCTATCTTTCTTATCATATAAGCAAACCCATTTTCCCCAAGAGTTTTCGTCATGTTGACAGACACCACACAGGCACTGACAGAGGTGTACTAAAGCAATAGTGGAGGCTTTTCCACAGCGACTCAGTCTAGGCCTTTATGTTAAAATGTGGGCCGAATTAGGAAATGATAATCTCAGCATCATTTTAAACTACTCTTTTTATTTCTCTAAGTCTGTCTTAAGTCTCACCATTTGGAAATCTGTTACTGATTTGAAGTGGAAATTACTAAAAGCCTTTCAAAATATTTATCATTACTTAAAAAACAAACCTGAAACCCTGTCTTGTTATTTTGAAGTTTCAGAACACCTACCCCTGTGCTTTTAAACGTAAGAAGGGATATAGTAAGACATTATCTACATTTTCTTTTAGTGTTTTTATGGTTTCTATTTTTGAAGTAAAACTTTATCTATAATTTACTTCGGTACACGGTGAGAAAGTAGATTACATAAGGAATCTGGAATCCTTAGATAGCATGTGGATAATAACTAACAGGTGTGTCTCAGTAAAAACCCAATTAGTTCAAAGCCTAGCCTAATGTTTTCTGAAAAGAGAAAAGATTACTTCAAACCAGACAAGATTTGTTTGATGATCAACTTCCCACCACCTATATGATCGATCATGGTAGATTGCATTTCTAAAACCAGTCAGCAAATTTCTTCAGAATGCCTTTATCTTTATCACAAGGTTCTTCACTTGTGAATCTTGAAAGATGCTAGGTAGATACATTCATACATACTTACATACCTACCTACCTACCTACCTACCTACCTACATACATACATACATACCTATTTACCTACATACACTTTCTGGAAATTGAACCTAGGCCCTTGTACATGATAACAGTACACTCTACCACAGAACATCATTCCCAGCCCCCTCTCCAAAAACCTCTTTTTAGTATTCAAAATTCTGTCAGTATGAAGTCTAGTTAACTCTACATTAGGAGAACTACTTTTCATCATGAAGTGAGGCTGCTGGACATTTATTTCTACCTTAGGACAGAATACGGCATAGCTTCATTTCTGTGAAGTATAGGAAAGATCCTAGACAACATCAGATCTTGTGCTGACCCTCAGATGTTACATGAATGCAAACTTGAGCTGCGTTTGAAATATCTTAAAGTTGAGTTGCTTGAAATCTAGAAAAAGATCAAGGGGCAGTTGCTAGGGTGGGGGTAAGCAGGCAGCTTGCTGGCAGTCATGAAATGACCTGTCAGTGACTAGCAACACGGAGATGTTTACTAGTCAAGCAGTGAGCTTACTGAAGAAAAATCCTCCTCAGGAAGTTTGAGCTGATCAAGTTAAAGGAGCTCATAATCAGACGGGCTGAACTTGAAGACGAGTATTAATATGAGCCAGAAAAACCATATCTCGTATTTGAGGAATGGCATCTAAGGCTGTAATTAAGTCAGCTGCATCTCTATGGTTGAAGTTTAGCCTTGATGGCACATTTTGTAAGAGCATTTTATATAATGGGTGGATTTTAACAGAAGTACATAGTGTGGGAGATAATAATCAGTTTAAGTTAACAAAGTACTGTGTCTAATTTTTATAACTTTGAGCTAAAAATATTCTCCTGGCACTGTTTAGCTCAGGCAGACGCATGTGAGCTTTGTGACTTTCACCAAAATCCTCCCAGGACAAAGTTCTCTTTCTATTATTTTGTCACTTGAAAACTGTGAAAGTGGCAACTTTCCAACATATTGAAAGATCTTTAGAACAAAAATTTTAAAGTCACCTCTGTAAATATCTAATATGTATCCCTGAAGCTCATGAAAGGTTAGGTCATGTTTTACCCTGTCTAAAAGACAAGTATTTGCTACTTTGTGTTAATTAGACCCTAAATTTCTCTTCTTTTTTAATGACTGAAGGTCACGGCCTTTCAGTTACATTCTTGATATCCTGTAAAGGAAAGGCCCAGAGCTTTAAACGTAGTATGTGCTCATACCACATGCAATTGTGTTTACTAGAAGTTTAAAACTTGAAAGGAAAAATTACTGAATTATAAGAACGTGTCTTTATTCATTTCTAAAGTCAGGGGTTAACTTCCACTAGGCAAACTGGCCCAAAACAATAGTCCCTTTGCATTAAATAAAGGAGATACATATCAAGAGAAAGCAATTGGGACACATTACTGTATTCTATAGACAGAGCATTTAGCAGGTACACTATTGTAAGAAGCCAATGCAAGGGACGAGACAAAGGGTGAACGTTAGGGACCAGGAAAAGCGGGAAAGTATGATACATGAGGTCAGGAGGTGGATGCTCTCTGGCCATAGAACATTGATGACCTCCCAAATTTTTTTAGCAGGAGGGGAATTAATGGCCATGGTTGCACTTTAATCTGGCTATAGAATAGAATAAGAGGGTAGATTAGATAGGAGGATAGATTACAGATGGGGCAGGAAGTGAGAGCATCTCTTTGGAAATCAGTCACTCTTGGTAAGAGTAGATGTAGGGACTGTCCTCCTTCCCAGAAGAAAGACCAGAATGCATTTTTGGAAGGATGGTGAGCCACCGGGTCTTGAGGCACCTGAGATCAATAGACGAGGTTCACTGTGGAGGTTGCACTCTGTTGACACTGTCATTTCTGCTAAGTGACATTAGAAAACTATAGCAGGTAAGAGACTGGTATCTAGGAGGGGGAAAGTGTTTGATGTCTCATACGCTCAAGTGTTTCTGAGACTTAAAAATGGAAGAAAGCTTTCAGCTTAACACAGATGTTATTGCAGTTATCTGCCAAGCTTTTTAAATAAAACAATCTTATTCTCTGAGATTTCTCGTGCTACTAAACTTCACAAAGACAGCTTAGTCTATTAAAAATACATATTCATCTGTTTATAATCGATTACTCAACCAATACATTTTTTTTCTGGGTGCTAATTATATTCCAAGCACTGTCAGGCTATGGGTTCTAGAGATAATGACCTTCAAAGCAGATGGAGCAAAGAGTATAAGTAAATGTGTACAAACACATCCACTTCTGACCTCACAAGCCTGAGATTTGAGGAGCCAGGATGGGGATGAGTAAATCGGATAAAGAAGGACTCCAACTATACACAAGGAAATAAACAGAATTTAGAGAAGTCATAGGAGCCCTGGTAATAAATAAGATAACATCAAATGATGGAAGGACCCCTTTGGCTGAGTGGCAGTTTACTTTAGATAGAATTGCGGAAGGACACATTTTCAGAGGTAGCACTGAAAGGAAATGTGTGCTATTGAGTAGCTCTTCTTCCCAAATATTTACACAAGGGAACTTGCTGAGTGTGGTTTATAAATTTTCCTTCCCCCCAAACTCCTTACAGGGAAAAAAAAACTCAAAAGAGATCGGTAGGTTAATTGTGATGAATAAATCATAGATCATCAGGCTGTGCGCAGGTGGGCGGCGTACAGCTCTGGCTCAGCCATTTGCCACCATCACTTACAATTGACGGTGTCGCTTTGTGTCGCACAAGACTTGTTATCTAGCTGGGTGAAACGGACACAGGAGACACAGGTTAGCAAGCTTGATGATGGCGCCATTAGCAAGCATGGCACGGATAACCTTCAGAGATCTCCCACTGTCCCTCTCTCCTCTAGTCTTCCCTGCTGGCATCCTACAGCCCCCCTTCTTCAGCGCTCGGCAGTCCAACTCACTGAACTATGGGGGCATCGGCATGGTCATCGGACACGAAATCACACATGGCTTTGATGACAATGGTAAAGTATAGGTAACATTTTCCCTTTAGCTGAAATACGTCTTCCCGAGTTTAAGAGTTACCGTTTTTCATCAGTGCAAAACTCCGTTTGTACCGATATCAGCTGTAGGAGTTCCCTGGTAGAATTCTTTGGGTCACTTACACGTAGACTCTCGTTTTGTCTGCAAACAGTGAAAGCTTGACTTCTTCCCCTCCAGTTTGTATCCCCATGATGGAACACAACACCAGGAGCACAGACACTGAGATCGGCAGTTAATACACGGGACCTCCTGAAACTGTCCATTTGCTTATCAGTGTATTGATGACCTAAATCTCACTACAGAGTCAGTGTTTTATTTGAAGTGTTTCTGAAGAAACTCAAAATAGTAATGGGCAGTGAGAAATGCGTGCTTTTCACTCTGAGAGACTAAAGCAAATATTCAGAATTGAGCAAGTACTGCAGTGTTCTGCACCATAAACAATGCTCAGTCCTGTCGTGTGTGTCTTAAGCTTTCCAGGCTCATAGAGAGTGGGGTCTTTAGATATAAAATCAGAAGCTATCACTTAACCAAATCTCCATGGCTCTTAAGCTGCTTGTAGCCATGAAGTTTTCTTCTTCTTCTTTTGCTTAACATATAATTTGGAACCTTGTAAAACAGTATGCACTTAAAAGTTGAAATGCATCCCTAAACAACCAAGAAAATTTACAGTTTTAATTAAAGTCAAGCAAAATTAAAATAAAGACAGACGATATGTACAAAGGCCATAGCAAAAATTGTAACAAGTTTTAGGTAAAAAAAAATGTTAACTGGACAGAATTCTAGACAGAGAGACAAGAAGAATAGCACCCTGAAGACGGACATGCTAAATGTCTGTTAACTCACCACTAGTCAGTGCAATAGTCTTAACCAGCACTGACTGTTAATATTTCCATTATTCCAAATGGAACCATACAGAGGTATATAACATGTTTGTGAATTGTCATAAAGCCTGGAATTGATAAGACTCAGCATGTAAGTTCAAATTGTGTTTCATTGCCATGTTCTTATTCACTGTATCATAAATATTTAAAACATGATAAATTTACATGTCAAAATATGTAAAGTGCGTAAGTACATTTGGAGATACAGAAAGGGAAAGATCAGCATCATTTAAATCTAGCAGGAAAACTCCAGGGGAGAAAACGGGTGCTTCTCTTTGTGCTTAAAGGTGAGGGAAACACAGAGGTAGTTTTCATAAAGGGACTGGGAACTTGAAACAGGTCCCAGAATGAAGGTGTTGACCATTGAAAGCCTGAAAATATCAAATTAAACAGTCTTGGTTCAGATGGAAAGCATCAAGAACAGGAAGGCATGCTTTCAGGAGTGTTTATCCAATGGCCTCATCAGCAGTAGCACAAGCCAAGTGTATGAAACACCTATCAATTCCATGGCATGCTGGCAGATAAAGTTCAGGCTTTCCCAAAGAAAGCAGGACTTGGGGGAGTTAGCTGTTTCTCTCATCATCTGCCTCATTCCATGGTCTTCCGCACAGCAATATTTCAGTCTTTTCCACATTAAACTAGAGATCTCAAGATGGAGGGATTGTGTCCATGATGGCATGCTTGCTATGATTTTATAGTTTTGCAAAATGCCTCTGAGGAGCTGGAACATTGCTCAGGAGGTCCCTTGATGTTGTTTTTTTTTTTTACAACTGCACGTGAATCTACTTCAAGAATTTCAACTCTTAAACAAAGAGAATTAAAAGAATCTTAACTCTCATTTTCATCATAACAAATTTTCTTTTCACTAAACGAATATATTCCAGGCAGAAATTTTAACAAAGATGGAGACCTCGTCGACTGGTGGACTCAGCAGTCTGCAAATAATTTTAAAGACCAATCCCAGTGCATGGTGTACCAGTATGGAAACTTCACATGGGACCTAGCAGGTGGACAGCATGTATGTCATGAGCATTCTCCAGAAAAGCTTTAGACGTTGAGTCACAAGTAAAATGTTGGTGCTTTCTGTAAAAATCCTAACAGAAAAATCTTTCTTTAAACAGCTCAATGGAATTAATACACTAGGGGAAAACATTGCTGATAACGGAGGTATTGGCCAAGCATACAGGGTGAGTATTTATACTTTACTCCCACTTCGGTGATGGGAGTGTTTACCCATTTCTTTAAATCCTTTTACAAGGGACATATATAAGCAAAGTGGAGAATGGGAAACGGGAATCATGAGAAGAGCAGAAAGTTTGGATACATGCTTACCATAAGGGTCTGTAAGGTTGACATGAGGTGATGGAGTCGAGGTTAAAAAGGGATTTCTCAATGCTACAACAAAGGATGGGAGCAGACGCACAGACCTGCAGATTACACACAATATCCCTAAGAGATAATCCCGGAAGTAAATTTCTTAATCAATATGTCCCCCACAAACAGTTACTTCAGGGTCATTCATCAGTGTAAGTGAGACCCTCATCTTCTCAGCAGGAGAGGCAGCCTGTGGAGGTAACCAGCCTAAACCGAAAACATAACATTAAAGCCACGGTCTGCTCACTGAGAAACAGTTAGGGACCCGATTGTGATGGTCATGAAGACTGACCAATTGTTGTTCTTTAAAGAACTATTATTGTTGGAATTTTCATTAGACTCACAGCCTTCCACTTACCATTGCAGGCAGACAGGTACTTTATTTACTTATTTTTATTTCTGAGGATTTCATATATGAGCACTGTATTTACATCATTTTCATACATTTCTCTCCCCTCAACTCCTCCTGTGCCCCCCCCTCAGATTTACGCCTCCTCTTCTTTACTGTTATCTACACATACATGCAAAGACTCTGGAGCTCTTTTAGTGCTGCTTGCGTGTATGTATTCAGGGTTGACCATTTGGGATGGATGATTCATCAGGGGACTCATCCTTATAGAAATTTGACTCTCCTTCTCTAGGCTGCCTGAAGGTGAGGCCTTGAGAAATATTTTCCAACCACACTGGCGTGTTGGCTGGCAGTGTCATTATGAAGGTTCTTACTACTCTTTAGATTTCTGTGATATCTAGAAGGATTTATACTACAGCAAGTGTCCAAGTCCTCCGGCCCTGACGGTCCTTCCGTCTAAAACTTTGAAGGACTTCACCTTGTCTGCCGTATCATTCCAGGTGCTAGAGATGTAGCAACACAGCTTCCGTAAGAGTTCCGTAGTTGAGGATGTGAGCAGGAATTAAAAGACGATCCAATGAATGCCATTATGGAAGGAGAAAAAAAGGGGGGATTCCACAAAAAAAAAAAAACAGTGGAGGTGTGATGCTTTTAGAAGCAGCAAGGTGGAATGAAGATGAATTAGAGTGTACCTCCTGACCCGGATGCAGCACGTGTGTGAGAGAATGAGCAGCCTACCTGCGATGGCACAGAGAATAAGGTGTCCATGACAGAGAACCAGGTTGTCCCAGATGGCGTGCGTAGAAGGCTTGAGGACTGAATAGGATTATTTGGTCATCTCGGCAGCGTTGAGGGTCAAGGGGAAGACAACCTTGGTGGTTGTCAGTCAGCGAGGTGGAAGCATCGCAGCAGACAGAGAGATGACGGATGGGGCCCGTGGTCTGCTCAAAGCAAAGCGTCACCCCAGGATGAGGCGTGGGAGATGAAGTCAGACAAATGCCCCAGCCCATCACTGGGGGATGGTACATTGCTACTACCTTGAATGCTGGGTGCTTAATGCTTCTGTTTCTCACTAGGTAGCAAACAGTGTCCCTTTTACCTTTTTGAGTGCTGGATGGTTTTTTATTTCTTATAAATATTCTTGAGAGTTATCATAGGATATAGTTGGATTCATTGGAGATGGTTTGCTCCTTTCTGGATTTGCCTGGACAGCTTGTTGGTTGGAACCGGGATAAATGCTTAGTTTAGAGGAAACCGATCCCCCTACCAAGGTCAGACCCTGCTCTGCGGATCTTGACTTTTCCCATCCTTGTCCTGCTGTGCCCAGGCACTGCTGTCTGTAATCCTTTGGTGGTGATCTCCATACTAACCTGAAGCTGGATAGTCAAGGGCACACTCTCTTCTGGTCTTGGAATCTTCACTGAGAATTTCTCTTTCTTAGTATCCTAGCCAGTACAACCCCAAACCGTCAGTTTCTTTTCGTCTCAGAATCCCCCAGGCTTCCATTGATTTTCCCCTCCCTTCACTATGACATAAATGCTCATGGAGACATAGTCTAAGTCTGTTGTAGAACTTGTTATTAGCCATCTCTCAGGACAGCCTTCCTTTGTAAGGTGTGATGTTAAAGACCGGTTTTCAGTGTTATGCAAACCATTGCCTTCTATGTTTTGATCACCGCTGTGTTGATTCAGCAACAGTCCCCGTCACTCTCTGTTGACTAGAGGTGGTTTGGTGTTAGTGATTAGCACCTTTGATGAGTCTGCTGTACTACTACTCACCTACATCAGACTGATAACTACAGTAATAGAGGAATGTGCAGCTATACAAATACATATGATATTATATGAGTTCTTTGCATGTAATGACTTGCCCCTCTGTGAGATCATTAACTCCCTAAGTGGAAAGAGGCATAAACCTTCCCTCTATCTCCAAAATCATTTGATAGTAAAGGTTCACTATTCTATGTTGATGGTAAAGAAAAAGAAATAAGATACCTTTTTAACTTATGTAACGGATGGATGTTCCTTATAAGAAGATAGAAAGGGCTGGCATGACGGCTCAGTGACTAATGGTACTTGCCACCACACCTGACCACCAAAGTTGAGTCCTTTAGATAAACTTGGTAAAAGGAGAGGACTGATTCCTGCAAGGTGTCCTCTGATCTCCACATATGCACCATGGTATGCATATACTCATGTGTGTACCGCAAATAAATAAATGGAATTTTAACTTTCTAAAGACATGACAAATAGCCTGTCTCAGGAGGTTTTATTAATAATCCATTTTTAAATTACAGCATAGCAAGACCAAATTTCTCAATAGTATATATAAATCTTTAAGGTTTCAAAACGTTTTCTGATGCTCAGGTGGCCAATATGCCTTTCTCATGATGTTTTTGGAAGTTAGTCTACTTCGTCCTATGTTGAGAGGACCTCAGGATCATAGGACACTAAACCCCTAGGGAATCTCAACAGACTCCCTTAACCTTTGGCAAGAACCACTCAGACTAAATCTGGTGTGAGTCTATTTTCCAAGAGTAGTAACTAAGCTAAATACAGCAATTACAGATGATTCCTTTGGCAACCCGTTCCTCCAATGATCTGGGCTTACGCATCTATCCATAGATAATGTCAAGGTAAGATTTTCATCATGTATTCAAGTCATCCTTTCAACCAACTGGCATTTAGTGTGATTGTCCAACATGCCAGACTCTTATCATCTGCTAATGAGTCCCTTATTCTTTCTGAGTATCTATAGATGCACTCTAGTCTTCTCCCTAATCCATGAAAGAGTTGAAGGCTACCCTATCTAAATGTTTGTTTGTAATGATTTGATCCAAAAGGAGAATTACTTGGTTACATGGTCTTTTGCAGAAGATCTTTTTATACAAATTTGCTTTCATTTTACTGCTTAGGCTTATCAGAATTATGTGAAAAAGAATGGAGAAGAAAAATTACTCCCTGGAATTGATTTAAATCACAAACAACTCTTCTTCTTGAACTTTGCCCAGGTAAGTGTATCTTTCATTATTGATAAATGTTAAAATCATTTTTTAAGTTGTAATTTCACAGCAGCTTGAATATCTCAAGATGTTTTCTTCTTTTAATCAATTGGGGTGGAGCATTTGGCTTGGCTAACTTTCATTTGTTTGCAACAAGATTGTTGGATCATGTCCATTATAAATCATTATGTTCCTAGTCGCCTTTCATTGAACACTATTTAAAGTTGTAAATGGCTGAATACAAATGCCAAATTAATTTTGCTTTACCCCATCCTACCCACAATGCTCCATGATTACACCTAAGCATGTTGTTTTCCTTTGTCTATTTATACTTCTAGGTGTGGTGTGGAACCTACAGGCCAGAGTATGCAATCAATTCCATTAAAACAGATGTGCATAGTCCTGGTAATTTCAGGTATGCGGTTATGAATAGCAGCCGGAATGTTCCAATGTTGACTCCATTACTTCTATGTTTCAAAGTTGGCTTTTTCTACTTCTTATTCTATACCGTTTAAGACTACTGTGAATGTGTACATGTGCATACATGTATTCATGCATGCATTTGTGTAAGAGCATGTGAGTGTGCTTGTGCATGTTTGTGTGTGTGTGCCTGCGTATGTATACGTAGTATTCATGTATGTGTGTGTACGTATGTCTCTGTTTCTGTCTGCTTATATGTCAGAGATGGGACTCAGCAGACCACGACAGTAACGCTTCCACAAGCACAGCTCTGGCTGTTCAGTCCTTCAGAACACACATGTCCTAAACTCGGTGCCTGATGGATTGCAACGAACATGTCACTTCCTAGCAGCGGTTTTGGTGGAACTGCCATCTAGTAGAACACGCTCCACTATGTGAGTGTAAATGAGAGTTTCCAAATGACAAAGAGAGATTTTCCTTCTACCAATATGGAAAGTTTAAGTTTTACCAGATGGAGGTTCTCCAGCATTGGATAACTTATCCCCAACACTCCAGGAGTGAGGACATTGCATCAGAGGCCACCAGGGGAATGCTCTTTGAGATGAAAGCATGTGAACACGCAAGAAATCAATGTATCAGAAGAGAATCCCTGTGGATAACCTTTGAATGTTGAGTTCTAGATCCTCGGGTCCCTTAGACTGGCATCCTGTCTCTCACACTGTAACACTGAACCACCCCTTGCTATAAATACTAGCTTCCAAGAAGGAAACTGAAGAAAAATGGTTCTTTCAAACAACGAAAAATGTGCTTTAGAAAACAGAGTTTGAGAACAAAAGAAAAGTTATGACCCAAAATTTCTAGAACTCTACTTAAAATGAGTATGGATACATTACCTGGAAAATTAACGACCAGCAGAAACACGCATAGTTGTGAAGTCATGAGCAGCATAGTTAAATGTCTTGAACTTCAGGGGAGGCCCTTGGTCTGTCCTAGTGTCACCACTGTCACTGTCACCAGCATCATGTAGCCTCTGCCTTGGCAGCCCCTTTATGCAGCAGCTGCTTCCAGCATTTTGCTTTCCCTGTAATGTGAGTTAAAGTTAGTCCTGTTAATTAACTTATCCACACTAGCTGCCTTTTGGTTAACTGCTTTTCCACAGAAAGTCATTGTGGGTCTATACGTGCTATGATTTGTTTTGGTTTATTCCTTTGATTACCAACACTAACAAGTTTTAAAAAAATGGGAGGGGGGTGTGGCGGTTGTTCTAACTTAAGTTTTCAGAATAGGGAGGGACATTTATAAATTAGTTTGTCAGATCCTTGCTCTGTTCCTATGAATGTAAGTAGATCTCTACAAAGAGCTGGCTTCCTTCAGGTGTTAGTACTGGTTTACTGAATGGCCTGTCATCCTTGGGGAATAAGGTGTTCTATGTTAATGTTCTTTTGTTTTGGTAAGACAGGCTGCTGTCGCTATTGTTAGTTACATTTTGGTCTCTTAACCTAGTGAAATGGTCACAGCTAGTGCGCCCGGCCTGTTTATCCCCATTCTAGTGATGGTGTCCTTTCATTTCTCATTTGGGCTTCTTGTTAGGGTTTCTTCTGCAAGTTTGTCTGAGCCCAGGACTAGCTGTTTTGTACTGGCCTCAGTTTCTTGATGTATAAGGCCTAAATTATAGAGAGAGTTGCTGGAAGATTTATGTTAATGGATATCAGTACCTGTTACTTAGACATGTTTCATGGGTTACTCTTTTTTTTTTTTTAAGATAAGAGACCTAAAAAGCTTTATGTAGAAAGTTATGGACTTTGGGGGTTAGAGAAATGGTTTAGAGGTTAAGAGTATGTACTGTTCTTGCAAAGAACACTGGTTTGGTTCTCAGCACACCTGTTAGGAATCTCAGGACCACATGTGACTCCATCTCTGCGAGACCTAATGCCTGATTCTGCCTTCTGCCGGCACCAAGAGTGCATATGGCACGCATGCATGAATGCAGACAAAACACTCACATGCACGAAATAAAAAACAAAGAAATCTTTAAAAAAAGTATGCAATGGACTTGACGTCGTTTCCAAGTAAGACAATACTTCCATGCCTGTGGTTGTTTATTTCTTCTGTTCTGCATAGTTAGAGATGTAATGAGTGCTGGCTAAGTAACACAGGGAGGTAGGTGTGTGGACTGCATTCCAAAACAATATTTTCATATAAACATGTGAGTCATTAATATCTTCATTTTTTTATTCTGACACCAAAGATAACTCTATTTTTCATTCATAATAAGAGAAGTATGTGTGTGTTTTACGAGTGAATGGAAGGCCAGTTTTTTGTCAAAGAAATTATTTTTTTTAAGGTAAAGGGATTTCCTTGGCAAAGGCTGAGGTTATGTTTGAGTTTTGGAGGCAGTCTGTTTCCTGACACTTCAAGTGAAACATATTTTACAAGAGCTTTCAAAACTAACAATCCTTGAGTTATTATTCAAAATTGGTGCTCGGTGGTTTATCTAAAAATATTTTCAAAGTAGAGGAAGATCGTCAAACTCATGCTGAAGCAGTAATACCATCACAAACAAAAAATGAACTATTCCAAAGATGAAATTCTAGTATGTTTATAAGTATAGTCTTCCCAGAATTTCATGCAGCTACTCTCAGCTGATGTAGACACTTAGTTTCTTTTTATAAATTAGCATTCCTAAGCTAACTGCTCTTTGAAATCCTCATGTTTCTTCCAATCACATTAAATATTAGCATTTATTCCTGATATTTGATGACTATTAGGATGGGTTTTGGTGAGTTGTCTAGCACTCCAATTAGTATATATTAATCTACATATTATCCTACATAGTAGAATATATGCTCATCAACATGGCTTTGTCATGAAAGAATCATAATAGGAAACTATAATGATTAGATAGTCTCTTCATAAACAGAACGAGTTAAATTTGAATTTAAATCATTAATTTTAAAGAACTAATACCAGATTGTCAGAGGACCTATTACCTGAAAACAATTTATTCAATAATTTAAAAAATCCATTTACTATCCAAGTGTGGTACTGTGTGCCTTTTATCCCAGCACTTGGGAAGCAGAGGCCAGCTCTGTCATTTTGAGACCAGCCTGGTCTACATAGTGAGTTCCAGGACAGCAAGGGCTACTTAGTCAAATAAATAAATGAACAAATAAATATTCATTTACTTTTAGTTAGGAGTAATATATTAGAGATATAAAGTCTATCCTGTAACCTAGATAGATGTTCAGCTCTCTAGAGTTTTTATTTTTTTAATACAAATGTTTATTTCACATAGCATAAACAGCACCAGCACAATTGACTATTTTACATAATAGAGTAGAAATTTTAAATGAAACATGTTAAGGAAACAATGAAAGTTTTTATCTTCTTTTAACAAAAATGCAAGCACACAAGAGCCAGGGTTTTAATGTAGCATGAAATCCATGTAAATATTGTATGCAATACTAACAAAATATGACCTCACTCTTAGAGAAGAGAATAATTGTTTTCAAAATGTACCCAGTCTTCAAAATGATTATTCATATCACCTATCCAAATAGTTGATGGTATAAATACCATTAAACATTAATTATAAGCCTGGGAAAGAAAGAGAAACCCTGGTGTGCTTTTGACTGGATCATTCAGAATCAAATTATATAGACGTCTTGACTGGGTAAAGAGGACATACACAGAGATGGAGAGCTGGAGGGAGGGAGGTTCATGTGTTGACTGCATCTGTATCTGGATTGTCAACTCCAGTTGTGCTTCCCAAGATTAGTCTTTCTTTGGGGTGTTACATGACTTTAATCTCAATAGTGGCAGGTGGATCTCCATGAGTTTGCGGCCAACCTGATCTACATAAGTTAGACCCTATCTCAAAAGAGAAAAGAAATGAAAAAAGAGAGGGAGGAAAGAAGGAAGGAATGGAGGAAAGCAAAAAAGAGTGAGAGAAAGGAACATAGAGTTAAGAGATATATTTGGATATGTTCACTGATGTAATGGGTCCTCTATCTATAACACATGCTGAGAAAGGGTTTTAATTAAGTAACTACAAAACATGGAGGTTCTTCCATTTTCTGTGTACATACAATGTCAAACAGGGAGCTTTATCTGAAGACTGAGGATGCCCTTAGCCACCATCACTGCCCCCTCTCCAGTATCTAAATGAATGACATCCCCCACACAATGAAAGGGTGGCTAGGCCTTTGAACCCTAAAAGAGTCAAGACCTTCTCTGAAATAAGGTATTGCTGTGTATCACAAGCCAGCCTTCAACTTACTGTCTTCTTTTTTGGGTAGTTAGAATTTTAGGTATGTACCATTATTGTCATCTTCCAAGCTCTTTTTCTACCTAGACTGTGCCTTTCACTTAATTTATTCAGTTGAAATTTCTCTACTCCTTCTCTTCTTACCTTATGAAAAAACCTCCATTTCTCACAATTCTAGCGGCTGGAAGTCTAAGTGATCCAGTGTGATCTTTGCAATTGCAGACTGCAATCTTCTCCTGTACCTGGTGGTAGAAGCAGTAGATTTGTTTTGTTTTTTTTTTGTTGTTGTTGTTGTTTTTAATGTTTCAGATATGAGACACTTTAAAGCCCTTAGATTAAGTTAGTTCTAAGTTCCTTTTGAAGTCGGAAGTTGGTCAATGTACTATTCTGCTTTCTAGATCAAAAAGCCAAAACCATTACATGAATCTAAAGACTAGGGTGGAGTCTTCGACTCAAGCCTACTGGGTCACTCAAATCCTTGACACCTGAGTACTCAACCTGGGCAGAGCCTCCCATTCTTCATATTCAGATTCTGGAACACCCATGTGCCATTCTGTCAAACGCCCTGTCAGGGCCTTGCTCACAATAGGGGGATGCATATGTCCTTCTGACAACCTTCAGGCTTGCATCCAAGTCCTGTATAGATTACTTGTCTCCCTCCCAAGTAGATAGAAAATCCTCAGCATTGACCCCCAGTTAACCTCAAACCCTGAACCAAGAAGATACATCCTTAAGACATCCCTTTATAGTCCCCAAAGGCAAGCAGCCCAATCATGTCTTCCCAAGAACAGGGAATTGAGGCCATGGAGTGAGGTGAGGCAATAGACGGATGTGTCAACGGATGAGACACTGGGAAGTCTGGCTTAGAAATCACCCGTTCTGATCTTCGCCTTCCTTCAGTGAGAAGGGAAAGCAATGCTGCATTTCTCTTCCCGCCAGCCTGGTCCCAGAGTCGCATCAACCCAGATAACACACAGAGACTCTATTAGTTACAATGCTGTCAGCCAATGTCCTGGACTTCTCATTGGCTAGTTCTGACTTAATTATTAACCCATAATTACTAATAATATATATGTATATATATTTATTTATTTATAAGGTCTCATCTTACCGAGAATGCCAGACTTGTGTCCTCTCCTCCCGGGATCACATGGCGACTCTCTATACTTGACTGCATTTCCCAGAATCCTCCTCGACTCCTAGACCCACCTATCTTGCTTCCCTATTAGCCAACAGTGTTGTATTTGTCAATCAGTGGGACAACAACGTATACACAGAAGGACTTCTCCCATCAGAGCTGGTTGAAGGCTGTTGTGATTGTGTCATCTCTGCCTTGTATTGACCTGCTTCTGCCTTCAAGTGCTGCTTGTGTGTTGGATGGCTTTATTTTGCCTATTGTTACCAAAAATAAGAAGATATGGGATATTTTCCCATCTCTTTTCAGTTATGGAAAATGAATCCAGTTTCTGATATGTAAGGAGTGTTTTGGGGACAAAAAAAAGAAAATAACTTCTCTATCTTCCTGACTAAATCAAGTCAACAAAAATCCACTAAGAGAAAGGGGAGAGAGAATAGTCAGAATACAATATTTTATATTTACTCATGTATATACACATATAAATGTGAAATTGTTTTAAAAAAACAGCTAATCAGTTAAAACTTAAAGAAAACTCACCTAGTAGAAGCATTGAAAGAACTTTCTAAAATTATTATTATGCTATGTTTACCATAAAACATCTGAACCCACTCAAGAAAGTTCAAAAATAAGGATTTCTTTTATCTTTTCACCAAACTCTTCTCACAAAAACCACACTTTCAAATATTAATTATCATTTATTTTATGCAAACATGTAGCATATTTTTGAATTATGAATCCTCCTAATAGTCTAGTGATATTGTAACAACAGCTTTGATAATGTGTATCAGAGGCATCTTACAGTTAAAAGTTCTGAAAAGTCTTAAAACATTTTGCAAAGTCTGTGCTCTTAACTCCTGACAGGTGGCCTTCCATACACTTAAGAGCGCTGTTAATGAGAAGGATCTAACGCCTACCAAATTTTCTGCTACTGAATTCACTCAATTGATCTGCATAGAAAACTTCTGCAGGTGTGGGGGGGGCTGGAGAGATGGTTCAGAACTTAAAGGCTGGGCTCACAACAGCAAGGTCAAGAGGACTAAGAGAACTTCTGTGTTCTCCAATGGGATATGGACACTGGTGTCCAAGGCTGATGGTAACTGTTTTTGTTCGTTTCAAAGGATTATCGGGACTTTGCAGAACTCTGCTGAGTTTGCAGACGCCTTTCACTGCCGCAAGAATGCGTACATGAATCCAGAAAGGAAATGTCGGGTTTGGTGATCTTCATGCGAAAGCCTAGCACCCATGGCACGACTCGTTAAAGCCACAGCAACAGGAACTCTCCCTTCAGAGAAACCAGGCCCTGGAGCTACTTGGGGACAGTTCATGGAGATGAGCACAAGCTAACATACATGGGATTAGATTATTGAATCCACTGTGAATGGAAGGGGGAGGCACCCTAAGGTCTATAAAATCTATCACTTCACTGTGTAAATAATGCTTACTTCCAATGGCAGCGTTACTGTTCATTTCTGTTTCTGACACACACACACACTGCAAGTTTAATGCTGTCCGCAGGGGAACAGTGTTAACACTTGCAGCACACCACAACTTCTGACCAAAGGGAGAAAGACACTTGGTACATCTGGGCAACACAGCACAGCAATGATTCGCCTAGGTACTCACCTTTGTTTGCAACATTCATGTTCCTCCAAAACTCTCCCAAAGAACTCCCAAGTGTACTGTGGCCTTAAGGCTTATGGAGTTTAGAACTCATTTTACCATACATAAGTTATGCATTCATTCAGCACCATTTTAGTTTAAGCACTCTTATGGTAAAAATGAGTATCTGAAACCACTCCCCACTTTACCCACTTTAACGATGTTGGGATTCTCTTGCCCTCTGCAGTTTTTTTGAGCAATTTCTTGGCTCTCTTTGCCTCTTAGATTTGGTCTTTTTGAAAGGATTTGTAGCAATGTATAAAGAATAGTTCTATATTTAATTATTAGCTACATGTATGACTGAATAACAATCACTATAGGTAATCACTGAATACTGAGGTTATATGGCCAAGATAAATAGCTATGAAAATCCGTAATACGATATGCAGATGAAAATTTGGACTTTTTAAACCTATGAATCATATTGGCGAGAAGTTTTAAGTACAAACTGAGGGTGAAGGTTACCACTGAACCACTGTCTAAAGAGATTCATAATAGTTGTGGTTTACAAACAGCGTTTTCAAGATTAAGTTTGGACACAAGAGTGGCTATCAACGGGCCTACCTGTATCTTTGTTGCTCCTTGATTCCTTATCTATTCAGGTTTGTCATCTAATGGAAATATTTTGATAATAAATACAAGTCGTGAGCCCCTTACTAGGCCTGTGTGCAAGCCATCTAGTTGTAGAAAGCCCATGTCTGAGAAGAGACGGGAGGCCTCCTGCAGACCTGCTTCCAGATCTCTACAGCGTGTAGACCCTGATTGGATTCCTCCTAACGTGCCCCCCTTTCTTGTTCCTTAGTGCATTTCACTGTCCAGTTAAGATTTTACAAAAGAGGCGCACGTCTACAATTTTTCTACCAAGCAGTAAAAATGAGAGTATTTCTATCCAACGTAATGGTTTTCATGCTCCTGTAGAAAGCCCATTTGTCTGTAAAAAAGAAAAACTGTGACTACAATATAATATATAACATTGTATATAACAGAATTATACTGTTAGCAAATGAACTCCCTCTGAACACAGTGACGCAGCTACAAGACACGGGACACTGTCCTAGCTTCCCAACGTCATCACTTCAGTTCTCCACAGGTATCCTCCAGATCTCCGGCACCATGTCCCGGTTTTGCCCCCAGTTTTGCCTTTTAGCCAGTTACCCACTCTTTCTTCTCTGCCTTCTCTCCGCCTTGCATCTGTAAGATTCAGCGGCACGTCTGGTTTGTGTGTGAATCTGTCACTGTCAAATAAGATTCTGTTGTGTGGCTCGACTACAAATCTTCCATCCTACTGCTGATGGACTCTAAGTTTCCTGGTTTGGGTTGTTACAAATGATGCATCATGAACGGGGCTTGCATATCCGTCTTCATTTGAGCCATCAGCGGAATCATTTGCCAAATTATCATCAATATTGGAAAAGAGTCTCAGACTAACCACAAAGATCCTTACTCTTTGCCCTTTTCGCCACAAGCACGTGGGTAATTACAGTATGCTTGCATCACTATTTCTTTTAAATCAGCTTAAACACTTGAGTATTATTTGTGGTGGTCGCAGTAGGTTTCAGTTAAACAGCCACCTCTGGGGTTTATTTTTTTATCCCTAGCTGTGGTAGCAACTGAAGAGGCAGAAGTGAACAGTGACTATCACAAACTGTAAATGGCTGCTAGCATCCCCACCGGTAGGCCACTAAAGCATAAACTTCCCACTCCTACATAGCAGCAAACTCCAGTGCCTACATCCCTACTACACACTTAAAAAAGCTTTGGGGCTAAGGGACACACACAGTTTAGAATAGTAATTTCTCCCCTTTTCCTCACATCCAGACATCACTTTTTGTAGCTGGTACTCAGAACCTTGTGTTCTCTTAATTCCTACCAACCCTTTGTCACATTACCTAAAACTTTATACATAATCTCTCTCATAAACCCACTCACACCAGGCTTAAGTTCTCATCAGGGAGAGTTTAGAAGCAAAAACACCAAGGCTTGCTTGGAAGCAGCGATGAGAGGATGAGGGTCCCGGAAATATGTGTTGGAGAGGAGTCTCCTTCCATGCCGCAGTGTCTGTGTGCAAGGCGCAAGGATGCTCCTCCAGAAAGTTGAGGGCTTGTCCTAGTTCTGCTCTGCCACTGCTGCCAAAGTGACCTGGGGCACATGTATATGCTTTGGGGCCACTGCCTCTCCTACCCAAATAGAAGACAATTAAATTCCAGCAGTTCGTACCAATGCTGCCTTCCCTTTAACCTGCTACCCAGGAAACAAGGACCAAAATTCTAACAATCTTGGCTGTGATGCTGTTACTACTAGGCATGTTGACAGGGCAAAAACTTGCTAATTTCCTGTTTATAATTCCTGTAGCAATAGAGTAGAAGGCATCTGTTCTTTTGTAAAGAACGTTAAGATCCTACTGTGTAAAAAGAAGTAAAATCAGAAGATTTTTTTTAATTAGCTCCTAGTCTCTGGGATAGAAAATGGCAACACTTATTTTCATAATGTTGTTTCTATACCTGGTTGACTCTGTTCCGATCCCACCAATATGCATGTAAACCTACACACACCATTTATGCCTTGAAAAAAATTTAAGATTAAATGGAGCCTTGATTTCTATGCAGTCTTATACTTTCTTCACAGTTTCAAACTAAATCTTTTTTTAAAGAATAATATGAACTATTTTACAACATTTTCCTTTAAAGACAACCAGTTTGCTGATCGCATTTGTCATGCAGCTACCCAATGTTGTCAGTAGTCGCTGTCATAACTGGGTGACTTAGGCTGAAGCCCCAATGTGTGCACTGTCCCTAAACTGGAGAGCTGGACCATTCAGGTGGTGTAGTGAATACAGGAGCCTCATGTGACTGTCAAAATGGCATGTTTATTGCATCCTTTTTGTCTAATTATATTTTCTTAATGTCAAATCCTTTGTGTTTTGCATTTCCTCTTAAAACAATGAAAAACATTCCTTCCATTTGCAACCTCTTAAACAAAATGGGCTTTTATTTTGTTAGAAGAAGGGAGGGCGGGTCTTGGTTATGCAAGGGAAGTTTGGTAGAAAAACAAACATTGGCCCTTGCCACAAATAATGATGAGATGCCAGCATGGAAAAGAAAAGTTCTAGAAAACCTAGAGTCGCTATTTAATATTTATGACCCATGTTTTCTTTCTTCCACGAAACAGTCAAAATTTACAGTTATCATCCATGTTAACATTTTATTATACTTATATAAATGCATTTGACTATATCTCCAATCTGATCATCTGATGTTATAATGCAAACATAATAATTCTAAGATTGTTTTTCCTTATCTGGGAAGACAAGTGCATCCAAGACCTGGATTTTGATTTTCCTTAGGGGAAATCCTTCACACATTGTCTGAATGCTCTGGATCTCCTGAAACTCAGCATCAAAGACATAATTCTGCAGTTTTCATGGAGTGAAACAGTACCAGAGAGCTATGGAGAAAAACCTGAAGGGAGAATGTTTAGGTTTTTCCAGTGAAAGCATGGGGATAAAATGTTAACTATTCATTATCATGTCAACTTTAATGTCAAAGTGTTGTTGCATAGAAAAAGCATTGGGATGTATGCCTAAAATTAATCAGAACTAACCCTAATGGTAGTAATACACGACACCCAATTGTATAAACTTCGGTTTCTGAACTTAATATTTTTCTGGAATAAGAAAGTATTGCCATTTAAAAAGTAGCTTTCAAATGTTATGTGGAGAGAGGTGCGGTGATTCATAACTGAAATTCCAGGACCTAGGATGCAGGTGCAGTAGGATGACTGACAGTTTGAGACCTCCCTGGAATACTGAGTGTTATAAGTCAGTCTGGGCTACAAACTGAGATACTGCTTCAACAGCAGCAAAACAACAAGAAGCAGTACTTATCTGGAATAGAGAAAGGGAATGCAGGAGGTGGGGAAATGGATGAATGATCATAAATCAAAATATAATTCCTCGTAGTAAGTTGTGGTATACGACAAGCGCTTCGGTTTGGTGTTTCAGGCAGACTAAGGTGTTAGTCAAGGTCTCTTCTCTTGGGACAGTCTCACAGTTTCCTAAGTTGCTGTTTAAGCACAGACTCGAGGAGCTTGGATCCTCCTCATCACTGTTCCCAGTGGTCCTTTGAGAAAGAAGCATGTGCTGTACAGGGCTTTCTCAAAGAGAACCCTAGAGTTGAATGATTCACACGCTTCCTCTTTGGAGTGTCCCCACAGTCAGACCATACCACTTCCCAAACCCAGACAGAGGGTCAAGACGCAGTTCAACGCCGACAGAGAAGTTTGGCTGTTTACTGTCCAGACCTAAAGGCTCTGCCTGGTAGATATGTTGTTTACACAGAGGTCAAAGGTTGAAAGAGGGAAGAAAGAGCAGGACACGGCTAGCCCAGCTGAATTAGTTGCCTTTATGTGCTTATGCCTTAAGATGTCGGTTGCAGTTGTGAAAATCAAACTCAAGCTACTTTAACAGAAATTGGAGACTTTGTCAATCTGTACCACCTGATGTGCTGCAGGTGGGGAATGACTCAGCCCTTTCCAAGGCATCTTCAAAATAAAACTGGAGGAGCCAGCAGCGTCCTGTGGGTCAGAAGAAAGACAGACCCCTAACTGCACCACATACCCAAGACATCTTATGAAAAGCCAACTGCCCTGTTGTAGACCACACCAGCACACGTCTCTGTGATCACTGGGCACGGAGGATGTGGGAGGAGGTGTGAAAAAAGTTGTGATCTTCCATAATGCCTTACGAAAATTACGATCTTTGGTCTCTTCAAGAACAATTTCCTAAAAACATCTTTCTGGAAAGAAAGGAAAAGAGATGTCCAATGCACTGGACTAAATACTAAATAACATCTTAAATATCTGTCTAGGTTTTACTGTGCATATTAATGTCATCTTAATTTGCCTTAGCAAAAGGAAGGCATTTTGCCTTGCAGTTTTGATATTTAAGAAAGTTGTAACTAATGAAAAATGGTATGTAGTCAGAACAATATTTAGCATGGCCGAGACATACAGCTTAATATATTAAATTGTGAAGTAATATTTTGTAACCTCATTTTACAAATGATTTATTTAGATGGAAGAGTTAACTGGTTTGTCAAAATCACTGATACCGACATGCCCAAGTAACCCAGAAACCTAGAATCACATAAATCTACCACCAAAGTTCTCTACCCCACTATGAAATGAATTTAGTCACTCAAAATAGACTTACCATTTATAGACATTAGTTCTGAAGATATACAGTTTTTAAGAAATGTTAATGAAAAACTACATATTTTCCTAATTTTTATTACATTATGTAACCCTAAATTGTTTATGAAGAACATTAAAGTAACCAAGAAACTCTTCAGTTATCTCTTACTTTCAAAAATAAAACCACTAGAAAAAAAGGTAAAATATTTGACTAGCACTGTGATTGCCCAACATTTGCTTGACTATTGATCAAATGTTGGGCATTAAAATCCCTACAAATCTCTGATGTGTTTTTCTAGGTGCATAGAAGAGAAAACTAAGTGAAAACAGATGACCTTTTCATATGCTATAAAGACATACAGAAAACACCAAATTTGAGGCTTTTCTTTCTAGCATGTGGAGAATATTTTAGAGAAACTTATAGTTGTGTTTGGTAATATGGATGGAATTTTTACAAAGTGGGTAAGGAAATATCCCCATTTAATAGTGCTTTACATGCAAAATTAAGCAAAAAAAAAAACAGGTAAGAATTTGCTAAACCTGATTGCAGAGCTTACTGGGGAGGAATGCTATTCATTATTCATGCTTGTATTTTTTTATTTTCATCATTTTTAAATTTATTTTACATACAAACCACAGCTGCCCCTCCCTCCTCTTTCTCCGCTTCCTCTCCAACCCCCACCCCATCCACTCCTCCTGTCTCCACTTAGATGGGATAAGGCCTCCCACGGGAATCAGCAATGCATGACATATCAAGTTGAGGCAGGACCAAGCTCCGCCCTGCTCCCCCCTATGTCAAGGCTGAAAACAACATTCCACCACAGGCAAAAGGTTCCAAAGAGCCAGCTCATGCATCAGAAGCAGGCTCTGGTCCCACTGCGAGGGGGACCCATAAAGATCAGGCTACACAATTGTCACCCAGATGCAGAGGGCCTAAGCTGGCCCCATGCCAGCTCCCTAGCTGTCCATCAAGAATCTGTGAAGTCCCACATGCCCAGGTCAGCTGTCTCTGTGGGCTTCTCCATCATGGTCTTGACTTCCCCTTGTTGCAGGATCCCTAAGGGGTGGGGGAAGTAGGTGTGACACCAACAATGCAGGTATCGGGAACAAGTTGAAACAACAAGTTCAAGTTTATTCCAGGAAGGGGTGAGCCTTATATATCCCCCAAACCTTCCCAAGGGGAGGGAGACCCCCTGAGCTGGATCTGCCGAGGTGATGTGGTTGCTGTCCATAGGTCCATGTCATCTCTCGTCAGACTCGACTGCTGTTGTCAAAGCCCTCTGTGGCAGACCCAGGCTGGCTGTCAGGAAATATCTACTGTTCATGCCCTTACTATCAGTCTAGACTTGCGGTCAGGAGACATCTACAGTGCGTGCCCTTGCTATCAGTCTAGACTGGCAGTCAGGAGACATCTACTGCACGTGTTCCTACTATTGGTCTAGACGGGTGGTCTACTGCGCATGCTCTAGGCCTGCTGTCGGGTCCGCTGAGGCTTAGTTACCCTACATCTTCTTGCTCACGCAATCCATCCACCCTCTCCCTGAGCTCAACCCCGTGTCTGACTGTGGATCTCTGCATCTGCATCCATCAGTTACAGGATTAAGGCTCCACAGTGACATTTAGGGCAGTCGGTCACCCCATCTGATTACCGGGGGAAGACCAGTTCAGGCATCCTCTCCACTATTACCAGGAGTCTTAGGTGGGGTCATCCTTGTGGGTTCCTGGGAGCCTCCCTGATAACAGGTTTCTCCCTAATCCCACAATGGCCCCCTCTATCAAGACATCTCCCCCATCACTTTCCCCCTCTGTCCTGTCCACAATTTGACCATCCTGATCCTTAATGTTACCATACCCCACCCCTCCGCTCTCTTCATCCCCCCCCCTTCAGTTTACCCAGGACATCTCATCTACTTCTTCTTCCCAGGGAGATACATATCTGCTGTTACCTAGTTTCTCTGCAGCTAAAGATAGTAGCCTGGTTTTTCTTTGCTTATGAAGAAGTACACATACCATGTCTGTCTTCTGCGTTACCTCACTCGGGATGATTTTTTTTTTCTAGTTCCGTCTATTTGCCTGCAAATTTCATGAAGTCATTTTTTCCCACTGAGTAATACACCACATTTTTAAAAATCCTTTCTTCAGTTGAGGGGCATCTAGGTTGTTTCCAGATTCTGGATGTTACAAATAATGAACATTTATACCCAAGTGTTCTAGGGTAGCTGAGCATCCTTCGGGTACCTGAACAAGAGTGGCATTGCTGGGTCTTGAGGTAGATTGATTCCCAATTTTCTGAGAAACTGCTGTACTAATTTCCAAAGTGGTTGTACAAGTTTGAACTACTACCAGCAATGGAGAAGCGTTCCCCTTATTCCACATCTTCTCCAACATAAGCTGTCTTTAGCAGTTTTAATCTTGGCCATTCTGACAGGTGTAGGATGGTATTTCAGAGTCGTTTTGATTTGCATTTCCCTGGTAGCTAAGGATGTTTGTTGAACATTTCTTTTAGGTGTATGTTGGCCATTCAAGATTCTCCTGTTCAGAATTCTCTTTCTAAATCTGGTTTTAATGGGATTAGTTGGTATTTTAATGTCTGGTTTCTTGAGTGTTTTATATATTTTGGATATCAGACTTCTGTCAGATGTGGGGCTGGAGCCGATCTTTTCCCATTCTGTGGGCTGCCGTTTTCTCTTATTGAAAGTGTCCTTTGCCTTACAGAAGC